TCATTCACCCAGACCTCACAGTTCTAGGGCCCCTGGCTGCAGATAACTGAAAACAAGGAAGGACATTTCCATGAGAGTCATCTCAAACACTGGTTAAGGAAAAGAAAAATGCTAATGGCCAGGTGTTCATTTGATTTGATATACAGACCTCCAGATTATTTTGTATATTTGGATTCACAGCCTTTGCCCTCCGGGTTTTGGGATTTGGGTGTGGGGTAAGATGAAGGGAAATCCATTAAAAGCAAAGTTCTATTATCTGAGTTTTAGAAATTCTATAAGAGACAAAGTTTGGAAGTACATAAAGTAATAACTATTAGAATTAGGTAATGGATATGAAAAAGAAAATGCTTTCTCGTGCATAGACAAGTGTTTTGGGTTAAAAAAAAATATTCTGTCATTGGTTACAAATGTTTACTCAGGCTTTCTATTGGCATGAATTTCCTTTGACCTTTCACTTTTTTATAAATTATAATGCATCTCAACCACCTCTCCCCAGTTAATGTGCCAAAATGTCCATTTTTAACTTATCTCCAGCCAATTTCAAAGAAAACAGACCAGCATAGTTCTGCAATAAGTTTTAAGATGGGCATAGGGTTTGGAAGAAAGGGAGAAGGATTCTTTTTTCAATGTACTGTATTGGGACGCTGGTAACTATTAACCCAGTGTTCAGCGTAGAGCTATATATATATATATATATGTATATATTTATTATTTTCATATAATTTGCCAGACAGAGATCAGAACTGAACCGTCAATGTGAAATAAAGAGTTCTCCTTGTACTTGAATAATAACCACAATTCCAACCCAGGTCTGCTTTGGGGCTTATCAGAACTCCTTTCTCAGGAGCACTAGAATGAGAAATCATGTTGTTCGATCGTTTCACATCTGTATATCAGCCCTAAAGCAGAGATGTACTATGGTGATACTCCAAGGTGGCATAGCCATTCATTTACAATTTCCAGATTTGAGCTGCCTCGAGGCAATCCATATTAGCTCTGCATAAGATTATATACAAAGCTGTCACTCACAAAAGGCTGGATGTGCTTTCATCCAACTGGAAGGCTTTATTCTTCCAAGTTCATTCGTACTCAAAGAGGCCAGTACTTTGCCATCCTTGCACTTCTGTTATCAGGGCCCAAATAATGTTGGCCAGCTACCAACTAAGTTGTATTTTAATAAAGATTCCATGGGTTGAACAAGCCACATTGCAGAAAAAGACCTGCCCCTAACCTGGGTTCTTGCAGAGTAAATCCCATGACATAAACTGATATCAGTGGTTCGGGGAAAATAGTTCCATTCTATGACACTCGTCTCCTCCTCCAGGGAGGACTGTTCTAACCGGTAATCTTGGCCCTATTCATTACATTCTCTGCTTGTCATTCTGCTAATTTATGAAGATAGTTTATTAAAGTCTGTGCTTCAGTTCTCATCTTGTAAATAATGCTTAACATAAACCTGTACTTACACTGAGATCCAAAATAGTCATGTTTCTGCAGTATTGTGTAGCCAACTTAAACCTGTGCTTTCATGTTTAAGAAATGAGAAATTGTGCCAAAGATAGCAGAAGAGTAAATAAGTACTCAGTATTGACCACCTACATCTGAAATCTACAACATAATGATACTGAATTGTTATGTAAACATCATAAATAGTAAATAATGATTCAATGTGAATTTTAAAATGCAAATATTGCTATTGTTTATAAGAAATAAATCTAAATGTAAATGAAATTGAATCAGTAATTTCTCTTGGGCTAAATGGTTCTACCCCTTACTAGGATGCCCCAATTAGTGGCACTAGAGTTGGCAGAGCTGTTCATGAGCTGCGAGTTATCATTTTGGAGTCAGTTTGTAACCAGCCTCTTAACACACTGCTGTTAACTCATAAAAGAGAACAATGTTCCATTTCAGTCTCAATAAACACTTCCCTCATTCTTTCCCCCCGCCTTTTTCTTCTTGTTATCTGTTGTTTTAACTTACTTGGATGGGTGTGGGAAGGCAGAGATATGATCAGTTGAATTAGATTTTACACAGTTTTTTTTTTGTTTGTTTGTTTTTTGAGATATAATCTCGCTCTGTCACCCAGGTTGGAGTGCAGTGGCATGATCTCAGGTCACTGCAGCCTCCTCCTACTGGGCTCAAACCTCAGCTTCCTGAGTAGGTGGAACTACAGGCACATACCATTACTCCAGCTAATTTTTCTATTTTTTGTAGAAACACGGTCTCAATATGCTGCCCACACTTGTCTTGAACTCCTGGCCTCAAGTGATTCCCCTGCCTCATCCCCACAAAGTGCTAGGATTACAAGCGTGAGCCAGTGTGCCTAGCTGGATTATTGTTTTCAAAACTTTTTACCCCAAGAATGAAAAAGCGAGGCTTGAGGAAAGATAATCCGATTGTTCATGTTAGCCAATGGGATTACAAGGCGGAAATACAGTGCCATTATGAACAGCTGCATGCATATTTTGTGGCGGAGATGAAAGTAGGATTTTGTTAGAAGTTACTACAGTAAGAGATAGTCGGCTGGACGCAGTGGCTCACCCCTATAATCCCAGCACTTTGGGAGGCCGAGGCAGGCAGATTGCTTGAGGCCAGAAATTCAAGACCAGCATGGGCAACACAGAAAGACTCCGTCTCTACAAAAATATACAAAAATTAGCCGGGAGTGATGGTGTGTGCCTGTAGTCCCAGCTACTCAGTAGGCTTAGGTGGGAGGATCACCTGAGCCTGGGGAAGTTGAGGCTGCAGTGAGCTGTGATAGCGCCACTGCACTCCAGTCTGAGTGACAGAGACCCTATATTTAACAACAACAAAAAAAGTCTTACCTCTCAATATGATGGTGGCTTGGTTTCACTAAAGGACCAATCCTGCCCTCTGAAGTAAGATTACAAGCTACAAATGGCTGTGTTCAGAGTGATCTCTGATGGGATGGTGCAGTCCTGCCTAGAATACCTCAGACATGAGGGGATTCTGCAGGGGGCAATGGACTTACTTGCTGTGACAGACAACAAAGGAATGAACAGCTCCCTATTTCCCACTGAGAGGATCCTATCTCCTCAGAAAAATACCTATTGCTACCTGGCCAAAGGAATACCGGGTAGTTTCCTTTGTGTACAACATGGGAGAAAATACTCAACAACACAATTCCTTAGAAAAAGATACTTGTTTGGAAGAGCTGGTGCCCCTGGGTCTCCATGTGATTTTGATTTTGCCTAGAGTTTACTCATGAATAGAGAAATGGTGTTATCAGCTGACAAATGACTTTATTCTTCCAGCAAATCTTTATTAGTCCAGTGGGTACAAGGCCCTTTATTAAAGCACACCCCGATTCTTAGAAGAGCCATGGGGAGTGTGCTTGGCTTATACTCAGGCAGTAGGCCGGCTGCAGTGTTTGCTTTGCAGGGGCTCAAGAATCTTCCCTCCTGGAACAGGAGACAGGAAGTGATCCTTCAGAGCCTTGGAAGGCTGCTAGAAGCTTCTATGCAACAGGATTGATATTCTGTATTCCCCAACTGCCCAGCAAGGGACTATGGAATACAATGAGTATGCACACAGCTCTGATTCCTTACCAGCTTTGTGTCCCTTGCCAACAACCTAAGCCTTGGTTTCCTCTTCCATGAAATAGGAATAAAAATTCTTTCCTCACGGGACTGCTTTCAGTGGTCAATGAGAAAATGCATGTAGCAAAGACTCTGTTACAGACTATGTCTAATAAATGCTAGTGTCTCTTCTCCCCACCCCTGCTTCTGGGAAAAAACTACACCCTTCTCCCTCCCCCATTTATTAACATGGGTAATCCATAGAGATGCAATTGCTCTTCCAGTGTTTTAGGATCCGTGTCCCTGATGTGGTGAAGGAATGAAGCTCCTACCACTTGGTGCTGGCTGAGTTCTCAGAGCAAACAGTATACCCAACCTCGTGAGATTTGTAAACAGCCCCCATTCTATAAAGGTGAAACTCTTCCAGAAATGGGACATTTTAATCTAAAGGGTAGCAAACGGAAATTTTTCCTATAAAGTGTTATGTAGGAGGTAAGCAAAAAATAAGTGTTCGCAGTCATTTCCTATGCCCTGAGACACAGACAGGGATTTGAGATGCTTGGGCTGTGTGAAGCTGAGATGTACCTTCACATAACACCCCTCCATACGTCCTGAAAATGAGAGTCCAGCATGAAGTTCACTTTTGCAGTCAGCCTATAAATCTTGTGTGACTATTCAAAAACAGTCTCCTCACCTGATGGAAGCAGGGCCCTACCTGGAGCTTTTTAATATACCCTGTGGGAGGAAATGTACCTCTCTGCAATCTTAGATTTTTAAAGTGAAAGCCAGATAATATAAAGAAGAAGAAGCAGGCCTTGTTAAATTAGCTTTGGGAACTATATCTTTATATATTTTGAGACAGAGTCTCACTCTGTCACCGAGGCTGGAGTGCAGTGCTGCGATCTTGGTTCACTGCAACCTCTGCCTCCTGGGTTCAAGTGATTCTCCTGCCTCAGCCTCCCGAGTAGCTGGGATTACAGGCGTGCACCACCATGCCCAGCTAATTTTTGTATTTTTGGTAGAGACAGGGTTTCGCCATGTTGGCCAGGCTGGTCTCAAACTCCTGACCTCAGGTGATCTGCCTGCCTCGGCCTCCCAAAGTGCTGGGATTACAGGCGTGAGCCACCGTCCCTGGCTGGGAACAACACATTGACCTGTATATGGAATTGGGTGAGTGTACCTAAGTGTATAAAGTTATCCATCAGGGATGGAAATGATCAGGACATTTCTCAATGGCCTAGGCTGCATGCACAGTGCCACAAAACTCCTAAGCAAGCAGTGAAATCTAACCACACAGTTGATGTCCCATTTCTTCCCTCACTAGGCCAAACCACTGTCATGTGTGATTTGGAAGGTGTCTCTCCAGAATTAGGGTGACACTTATAGTTTCATCTACAAATCTCCACTTGGCCTGCCACACCAAGTTCAAAACAGTTATGAATAAGCCCCCAAAAGACAAGATAAACATTTACATTCCTTTGATTATTCTGGCTGTAGAAAATGAGAAAGGAATACCATTGCCTCTTCTAGAGAAATTCCACTGGTTTCCAGAAGGCCCCGGCAGCGTGCAGCTCGGAAGCTCTAGCTCCATGGGGACAACTCCAGGATATTACCTAGAGAGAAAGTTGCCTCACAAAAGTACTGTTTATCAAAAAATGGAGGGAGGCAAATAACCCTGGAACTAAATGCAGAATCAACTAAACTGAGCAGTAGTATCTGGATGCCTGTCCTCCATTTTCCCTCCAAGAAGCTGCGTTTTCCCGTCAGACTGCAGGCTCTGATAGCTGCCGTTCCTCCATAACGCAGGAAAGCCATTACCAAGGCTTCAGGGCACTTCAGGGAATGTGATACAGAGTTGCATCATCTGAGCATTTCAGGGTCAAGGGTCTGGCTGCAGGGGAAGGTGCAAGAGGTCTGGAGATATAACACCAGCCAGGATTTGCTTTGTCTTTGTCTGTGCCCCGTAGAAAGTTACCTTTTCCAAGGTGAAGGTAAGACAGATTGAAATGACTTCAGTCATCTTGGGAGGGCAGTCGCTGGAGAAAGGTACTACTCCTTCCAGTTTATGAGCATGCCTTCACAAAGAGCTCAAGGCATGCACATTTTAAAGATGACTTTGATCCTCCTCCAAGCATTCAAACATAACTTTTATTTAAAGAGCCCTTGTGTTGTGTTTCCAAGGCTATTAGCTTAGCTTGGCAAGAATAACAAAAGGCCAGCCAAAAGGCCTTTCTGAGCCAAGGGCTTAAAAAAAATTATAAAGGTTCTCCAAAATGAATCCGAGGTTATCCTGTCCAGGTCTTTAGGAAACTAGGCAAGTCTGACGGATGTCAGAGAAGTGCTACTGTATAAATTCATGTGATAAAAGAAGGCAATACCAGTCGGCGATGGAGGGACACTGGCTGATTCATCCTCAACACCTGCTTCTGCCTTCCCAGCATGCCAAGTTGGCTTTACCTCTCAGGTACTTTGGAGCTAATCCTCCCATTTCCTATTTTAGCCAGAAAGGTTAAGGTAGAAAGAATGTGTCAATTTCACATGAATCACAAACCCAAGGCTCTCTGCTCCATCAGAGGAGAACAGTTAAGTTAGAAAAACATGCCACAGAAGTTGATGAAAAAATTAGACATGCAAACAATGCTGACTCAGCCTGCAAGGATATTTAGTCTGCTTTTCTTGCCACTAAGAAAATGTTTGCTTCTATATCAATCCAGGCAGTCGCTACCCTATTCTTGGGCATCATTTCCTTTCCTAGAGATGACACTCTAAGGCAAATCAAGGTCCAGTTTCTTTTAAGGTGCTGACCTAACAGCTGCAGGTATCCCCTGAGATTCCTCCCTGCCAGGATGAGTGTCCAAGCAAGTGGGATGTCCTGAGCCCAGAAGGAAAAACAGCAACAACAAGCCGAGCACAGTGGCTCAGGCCTATAATTCCAGCACTTCAGGAGGCTGAGGCGGGTGGATCACCTGAGGTCAGGGGTTTGAGACCAGCCTGGCCAACACGATGAAACCCCGTCTCTACTAAAAATACAAAAATTAGCCAGCTGTAGTGGCACATGCCTGTAGTTCCAGCTACTCGGGAGGCTGAGGCAGGAGAATGGCTTGAACCCTAGAGGCAGAGTTTGTAGTGAGCTGAGATCACGCCACTGCACTCCAGCCTGGGTGACAGAGCGAGATTCAATCTCAAAAAAAAAAAAAAAAAAAGACACAGAGGAAGAACATTTTTATTTACTCAGCAAATGTTGGCATTGCAATTACTATGTGACAAGCAGTGTTCTTACCACGTAAATATGAATTCATTTAATTTCATAACAGCATCATAAAGTGGGTACTATTATTATCTCCTTTTTACAAATGAAGAAACTAGCACAAAATATTAAGCAACTTCCCCAAAGACCACACAACAAATAGATGGCTCAGCCATTTGGCTGCAGTGTCACTGTTCTTCACCAGGCCTTATAAGGCAGAGAGTGCCAGGAGTACTAAAATATTAATTATAACTCAAGTGTGGGGTGGTCTAAATGTTCAAAGCAGATAAGAATCATTGGCTAGATCTACTGCATAGCATAGTAGCTATACTTAATACTGCATTGTATACTTACAAATTTGCTAATATAGTAGCTTTTACATTGTGTTCTTATCATACCCCCCAAAATAATTAATTAATAAAGAAGGTGAGAGGAAACTTTTGAAGATGATAGGTTTATGGCATGGACTTTGGTGATTGTTTCACAACTCACCAAGTTGTACATGCTAAATATGTACACCTTTAGTATGCCAATCACACCTGAATAAAGTGGTTTAAGAAAAAATGAATCACTGCTAATACCAAGTGCTAATTATATGCTGCATTGTACTAAAGACTTTACATGCATAGTCTCACGCATTCTTCTTAACACTTCTATTAGGCAGGTCATATTACCGTCTGTTTCCCAGTTGAGGAAACTGTGGCTTAGGGAGGTTAAGTAATTTGCCCAAGTTCACAGAGCTGGGACTCACATGATTCCAAGTCTTTTCCTAACTATTAAGATATAGTGCTTCAAAATGTCTAAAAAGTAAGAGGAAATGCATGATAGTATCCAATCGTCACCTCTTTACAAGCTGTTTATCTTTTCTAATCATAACATTTTATTTGATACAACCAAATTTGCTCCCTCAAATTGCCTGTTTGTTTTCCCATTCTAGCAAAAATTAATTTTAAATATGTCTAGATTATCTCCCATCTCACCTAGCTGCCCAGCCTCACCTCCTTTATGGTATACAATATCATTGTGTCCCTCCCTCATATCACCTTTAAATGTTTCACTCAAATCCTAACTCTCCCCAAAATCCCTTTCTTTTCCAAAACCAGGGATGGGGAGTCAGAATAAAAACTGGAACCCTATTTCTCTTTTCCTTTTCTTGCAAAATTTTAGGGGCTGCTTTTTGTTCTTTATGCTGTGACTCCATTTCCTCCCCACTCACAAACACCTAATCCCCTACAGTCAGGCTTCCACAGCACTCCTGAAACTCCGAGGTCATCGATGCCCTGCTCATGAAATCCAAAAGGCATTTTCTCAGTCGTCAATTTTTACTCTTCTGCAACATTTGTCACTATCGGTTAGCTTTATATTCCACTAAGTTATTTTTCCTTGGCTTCCAAGACATTACGAGGTTCTGCCCCACCTGACCCTTTCCCACCACTCTTCCATCACTTTTGTAACCTCCTCCTCCTGCTGCTCCCTTGCTGTGGGTCTCATCTCTGCCTGTGCCACACACACAGGGTCCCCTCAAATATTTGTGGAATGAATGAACAAGCTCACATGCTTCTGGTCTTTTTCTCTCCACTAGATACTCCTCCAATATTATGGATTCAACTACCATCTCTATGCAGATGATTAACAACAATGCGTATCCACAAAATCTACAGCTGCCCTTGGTTTCTCCTGCACTGATCTCCAAGCCAAATCTCAGATCCCCACTTCCAACTTCTACTGACCACTTCTTGTTGGCCTTTCCACCATCTTTTTAAACTGAATTTATCCAAAATCAATCTCATCAATCTTTTCTGTAGTCTCTCTTTCCCAGATTGGGAATTGTGTTTTTAAAAATCACCATTATTTCTCCTACAATCTAGGATCATAAACATTTCTTCTTGCTTTTGTCCCCAAAAGGTTTGAGGTTGCAAGGCAGGTCTATAGAGGTTGGTCCATTTATTTGAATCCCTCTGCTCTGGGCCTCAGGTGGGAGCCCCTGAGTGAACAGTGATGCCTCTTTGTGAAGTGAGTGACCCAAGACTTAGCCTCTGTCCAGACGTGCATCACTGGACGTGGTGTACTCCTGCATTTTCTCTTCCCAAGTAATTCTTGAATAAACAACTTGTATTTTGATAATCCTCTAAATTCTATTTACAACCATGAGGCCTTCACGATAAGAACAAGATTCAGAGGGATTAAAAAAATACGAAACAAAATCCCAGACAAGGCCTCCATTGCTTCTGAAACACTCACCCCGCCCCCTACTAATTCTGAGTGTTCCCTATTCTATCTCCCTGGCCAAAAAGAGACCACAAAAACAAAAGTCCCTAAAGGATTTCATTTGAGCTCCTATTTTGTTCTCTTAGTCCTTCAGTTCATCTTGCATCACACATCATGAAGAATATGAATCCACAAAATGAAGGACACTGTGTCCTTATTTCTGCAGGGCAATTATTCTCTCCATCAATACTTTATTCTGCTGACTAAGTAGTTCACCTTCACTTTGTAACAAGCCCAGGCCACCTGACTTAACCACTTCTTCCTTAAAAGGGCCAGGTACCTCCCCCATACACCCACAGGTTTTTAAGCACCCCTAAAATAAGTTGTCTCATGATGTCTTCCCAGCCCTGGTATCTAATCAGCCCTTCTCTTTCCTGTGACTCTCCTACTCAGTTCAGGTTCTATTGCCCTAATTTTCAGACTTCTTCAAAGGCTTTGTCAGAGTCTCCCCACTGCCAGCCTCTACCTACCCCCAAACCATCCTGCACAAGATCATCAGGTTAATACTTTGCTTTCTGGCTCAAAAACTCTAATGGCTTCTTATTGTCTACAGCACAAAGTTGAAAATACTCACCTGAATATTTAGGACACTTCAGAAGATACTCCGGAAGACATTTCCTCTTCTCCATACGCACATGCTTCATTACACTCTCCCCAATTGCTTCACTCTCCCAAATCTCTTCTCTACCTGGTCTGCCTATTTTTTAAACCCTGAAAATAAATTCTTGGCCTCCAATCCCAATACCACCTGTTTCTAACCTCCTGAAACACACAGAAGCAACAGTATCTTGGTACATAATCAGATACTGCCTTATATTATTAAGTCAATCAATGAGACTTGACTATAAAGTAATGAAATTGAATTCCACAAACCTCACTGTAAATCAATATCATTACTTTATACTACTAAACAGGAGTCAAAACTGGTGGCTTTGGGCAAGACCCAGCTTCAGACGAGCTTTATGTGGGCCACAGAGCCTTTGGCTGGTTTAGATTTGAATTTGAAGATGAACACCTTGTGGGAGGGTGGGGTGTTACACGCTCCACTTCACTCCAGCTCCCATCACTCACCATTATTTCAAACTCCACTGCTTCTGACAGTCACAAATCCTGCCTGGCCCTAAAGACATCCGAGTTTGCAACACTTTTGGGAATCACACTTGAAATATCTCATTTAACGTCTCATTGCCCCAGTAAGTCTGGAAACTTCAAGAGGGCACAGGTTGTTTTTTATACCCCTTAGTGTGACCCCTCCCTACCCCACAGGGTCCTGCGCAATACTGAGCACACAGAAGTTTAACAAATACAAGTTGAGTAGGTCCACGCGAGGCTGTGGAATCAATTTGGTTAACTGCAGGGCTGGGAGGAGACCCAGTGAACAAAGGACGTCATCCTATCCCTTAAGCAACAACAAATGAGCTTTCATAATGAAGAGTTCCTACCGCGAATGCAACACTTCCAGCAATAACACCTACTGCCACTGCCTACGGTCTGTTCCTGGAAGTCATCCCAGTAAAACAAGTATGATGTTTATCCCAGTTCAAAATTCCAATTTCAGTGAGTGTCAGTTCCTGGAGAAAAAGGAACAGGAAAGTTTATTTGGGGGTGGTGGGGAGGAGGGGACTTCCTAAAAATGCGGTTTACAAACATAACATTCCAATGACAGGAAATAAGAGCAGAAAGCCTCTCTTGTTGGCCTAAATAAGAAGTGGTTAATTGTTCCAACTTCTGTCAAGAGACCTCAGTTGCTCTGTTATTCTGAAATGTTCTCAGTTCATGTTTTTCAAACCCTTTAGGCTGAATTATCTGGGATGCCTCAAGGCCAACCAGGTGGCAGCCAAGGGGTGACAGGAAGTGGTACAGAGAACCTGAGATTTGGAAACAACACAGAGCAGGGTTTGCAAACTGGCTCTGACACTTGCTTTTCTGAGCCTCAGTGTCCTTAGCCAGAAATAGGGGGAACAATGCTTTCCTCAAAAAATTAAATGAGATGAGAATAAGAATAGCTAATGCCCACTGAGTGCTCATTTTGTGCCAGGCACTGATTTAATGTACTTTAAATGTATTACCTATCAACAATAACATTATTAGATAGATACTATTATTACCTCCATATTATACATAAGGACACTGAGACACAAAAAGGTTAAATTATCTGTCCAAGGCACTCAGCCTGTAAATGGCAGAACTAGGATTTAAATCCAGGTACTAGGAGGGGTGCGGTGGCTCATACCTGTAAGCCTAGCACTTTGGGAGGCCAAGACGGCAGATCACTTGAGGCCAGGAGTTCAAGACCAGCATATAGGGCAATATAGGGAGACTTCTTCTCTATTCTTTATATTAAAAAAAAAAAAAAAAGAAAACAAAATACACACACACACACACACACACGGTGGGCGTGGGGGGTGAGGTGGGGCGGTGCTAATGGATCACTCTAAAAGATGCAGAATCCCAAGGAAAAATTTTGGACCAGAAACTCCTCATTTTGTTGAAGAAGCTCCATCAACTCAGCTATCAAGAAAAGGACCCATCTGCACCAAGTAATAGCTCCTGTCCTAGACATGACCCTGTTTTGACCAAATTCCCTATGTGAAATTAAGCATAGGTTCTTTCCTTTGATAAATAAAGTAACTTTATTACCATAATTTGGTGCCCCTAGATTCAGTGTGGAGGATGGAAGGCTCCCAGGCCAAAGGAGCAAAGGGTTGGGACTCTTCTTACTGTTGGCAGGGTTCCCAGCACAAGGGAAGAGAGGTCTCCTCAAGACCTGCAGGTCCCCCAAGTAGTGCTAGGAGGGGTCCCCTAACCAGAGAAAGACAGCAGCCCCATCCGGTGGTACTAGTGGGTTCTCTGGTCACAGCACGGACTAGAGAGCATATCCTGTTCCTCAGGCTGCCCTCCAGAGAACCCAGCGGGCTCCTTTGATGGAACCAACTCGGGGGAGTACTGGCTATACTGAGAGTAGCCTGGCATTTGGGCGCTAGGGCTAAACTCACACACATACCCATCAGTCTTCTCAAATTACACCTAAAACCAACCACCTCTTTTATGTCAAACATATGATTTGCACTTTCATTTTTTAAAAATCTCTTTTATAACTCATGGCCTACAGGCTTCAGCTACGTCAGGTGACCACAGAGAACTGGCCTCATTGTACAGCAGCTTTTGTTTGGAGGGCCTAGGTTCCACAAAGGATATTTTCTTAGGAGCCTCTGCAAACCAAGACCCCATGAAACATGTCCATAAAATATGCTCCACGCTTTGACAGATCTGCAACCATAAAAGTCAAGAAAGGAATTAGAAACTGAAGCAAGACATATGGGAATTATTTTTATGATGTTTAATGACACAGACCTTCCCAAAGTAATCCAAACCCCCAAACATCACAAAATTATTCATACTATTATATACTCCAAAAGCAAAATACTTCAACTGCAATCCTTGCCCCAGCATGATTCCTCAAAATTGAGATAACTCCTTGAGAAATAAAAAGTAAAAATGATTATAATTTAAGGAATAGAGTTAATAAATGCGAAAGTAGAGGGAAAAAAGTATAATTTAGTGTGAAAACCAAAAATGACTTTAAATAAGAATGTGTATTTAAGATCTTATTAAATTAAAGAGTTATGCTCAAACCATTTCAAAAAACACTGAATATTGAATGCATGGTGTATATTTTAACAATAAATGAAATGGGATACCAATTCATTAGGGCTGCTTTCCTTTAGCTGAGACTTATAGCATAACCTTAATGTAACACAGTATTTTCTTATTTTTGATGACTACTTAGAGGTAACATCAGAATAACAAATGGACAACTATAGTTTCAGAGAGACTGAGAATATATTAGCATATGTAATTTAAGCTTGCTGTTGGCCTTGCCAAGGTGGAATACTGGTTGTGATACAGGTTGAGTCTCCCTCATCTTTAATGCTTGGGACTGACCAGAAGTGTTTTAAACTTGGGTTTTGGTTTTTGATTTTGTATTTTGGAATATTTACATAAACACAATGAAGTATCTTCGGGATAGGGGATAGGACCCAAGTCTAAACATGAAATTCATTTATGTTTTATATACACTTTATACACATAGCCTGAAGGTAATTTTATACATGATTTTAAATAATTTTGAGCATGAAATGAAGTTTCAAATGCATTTGACTGCAACCTGCCACATGCGGTCAGATGTGGAATTTTTCACTTATGGTGTTATATTGGTGCTCAAAAAGTTTTGGATTTTGGAGCATTTCAGATTTCAGATTTTTAGATTGGGAGGTTCAACTTGGATATACCTTTATTTGGCTGAAATTCTGAGAAGAGGATAAATGAATTTTGTTTTGTTGTTTTTGTTTTTGGAGTTCCTTTTCTAATTTTTAATTTCATTTCCTTAATTTACCTAATGAACCAATCCCTATGATCACAATGAGAAAAGAAAACTTGTCTCTCACTGAATCTTCTAAAAACTGAACAAGTTTTAGGGTAGTGTCTTACTCTATTCAGGCTGCTATAACAAAATGTCATGAACTGGGTAGTTTACACACAACAGGAATTTATCTCTCACAGTTCTAGAAGCTGGGAAGTCCGAGATCAAAATGTTGGCAGATTCAGAATCTGGTGAGGGCCCTCTTCCTGGTTCAGAGATGGCGCCTTCTCGCTGTCTCCTCGCCAGTGGAAATGGGCAAACGAGCTCCCTTGAGCCTATTTATAGGGCACTAATCTCATTTAGGAGGGGTCCACCCTCACAACCTCATCACCTCCCAAAAGGCCCCATTTCCTTAGAGGTTAGGAGTTCAACATACAAATTTGGAGGGAACACAAACATTCACACTATAGTAGGGCTGGTAGAGGAAAATGCTATGGTTATACTATGAAGGAGGGACATAAGTTTCCATTTTCAGGCCCCTCTTCTCTGGGTCTGTATCAATGAAGACAAATGTGCCTCTAGTCTCCCTTTATCCCATCCCCTTCCTCTTCCTGCTCCCTCACACTGTGTAAGCATTTCATAAATGCACCTTCCTAACTAACTTTAAAACCTGGCATTGGCAGTCCTATCTGTAGAACCTATTTACTTAATGTGTAGCTCTTTTGGAGAAATATTTGAGGAAGGTTTTGTTCCTCATCTAAATTTACAAAGAATTGCTGGAACAAAGGAGTAGGAAACAGAAGGAGCAGTTTAAACTACACTCCAAAGGAGCTAGCCTCCTCTTACAAATTTATCACAGAAATTCAACATTTAAAACAAGATCTGAATTATCCAGATGTAATGCTCTGTTTTCCAAGGTTTTTAGTGGGCTTCATGTAAATCAAGCCTAACACTAAGAAATAAACAACAACAAAAAAAGGATATACCAAAAAGAGAAAGTCAGGTTGACAGTCTTTTCTGGAGGATTTATCAGGTTATTCCTGTGAATACCAACTTCCTCTAGCTCATATATAATTAATGAGAGACAGAGAGAAAGGGATCAGAAGGAAGAAGAGAGAAAGAAAGAAGTTTTCAAGAACACATCCACTGTCAAAAATGAAGAATACCTTAAAAGGCATCTCGACATTTTTGTTAGAATTCTTTTTTTTTTTTTTTTTTTTGAGACGGAGTTTCGCTCTTTTTGCCCAGGCTGGAGTGCAATGGCACGATCTCGGCTCACCGTAACCTCCGCCTCCCGGGTTCAAGCGATTCTCCTGCCTCAGCCTCCCGAGTAGCTGGGATTGCAGGCATGCGCCACCATGCCTGGCTAATTTTGTATTTTTAGTAGAGACGGGGTTTCTCCATGTTGGTCAGGCTGGTCTTGAACTCCCGACCTCAGATGATCCACCCACCTCAGCCTCCCAAAGTGCTGGGATTACAGGCTTGAGCCACCGCACCCGGCCTGTTAGAATTCTAAGAAGTGCTTTCCAAATGGATAAGCACCTGCCACCCAACTACAGTGCTTCCTCTTTCATGTTTAAAATAAACATGCAAAAACACAAATTTTCCAGCTTGACAAGAAAATGTGAGCCCCCAAACAGCAAACACTTTAATCAACAACTCTTACCTGGGCACAAAAGACTGAGTACAGCATTTGGTTTAAAGGGGATTAGACATCAGTGATTCAACATAGACAACAAAAATTATTCATTTCTTTAAGGATGCTTCAATTGTCGTAGTGAGTGAGCTCTTCATGATCCTCCTTCAGCTTTCATTAATTTCCCCTGCAAAATTTGAAGCAATATATTCTACATATGGTATTGAGAAAAAGGCAAACAACCAATACAAGTAAGGAGAAAAAGATAATTTCATACTACCCCAATCTTGGCATGTAGCTATGCCTTGGGATCACTTAGTCTCCCCGGATTCCCACAACAGAATAACCCAGTGAGCATAGTGAGCATCTGTGCGACCTTGGGCAATTTACTTGACGTCTTTGTAAAATATCAGGATGATGACAGAGTATCTACCTCTTACTATTATTGTGAAGAGTTAGCACAGTCCTTGCTACATAGTAAATGTGCCAAAATAGGTGTTATTCAGTTGACCTGTTAAACATGTTCCAATCAACTATATTCTACTGAACAAATTTCCTTCCTTCCTTCCCTCCCTCCTTTCCTTCTCTGTTCTTTTCTTTCTTTTTCTTTCTCTCTTTTTTTTCTTTTTCTTTTCTTCCTCTTTCTTTCCTTCCTTCCTCCTTTCCTTTCCTTTCCTTCCTTTCTTTGCTTTCTTTGTGATGCAGTCTCACTCTGTAATTTGGCATTGCACACTGGGGGCCATGATGTCATGGCAATCATGCCTTCCAAGAGAACTAGGGATAATCTGATGGGTTTCTTTGTGGGAGGTTTTGTTTGGTTTTTTGGATGTTTGTTTTTTGTGTGGTAAAATTCACCAATTTTAAATATACAAGGGATACTCTGTTTATACCAAAACCACCAAGTCCCAAAAGATCCAGAAGTAGATGTATTCCAACCCCTTCAACCCATTTCTTTCACTCATTCCCTCCCTCTACCTGGTCAGATAATTTGACTCATTGTTTTTGGCTAAAGAATCCCTGACCTTTTTGTGGTAAGAATCTACTTTTTCATCTCCCTGGGATCTCGAGATCACTGGGGAGCCAGGACCTGGCAGTGAAACAGATATGGAGAAAGGGAGAGACAGGTATTGGTGCTGCCATTAGAAGAAAGTCCTCAAGAAAAGCCAGAACTGGGACACACCATGGGAGCCACTGGGTTGTGTGTGGCGGATGCCTCCTGCCTGGGGTCTGTCCTCCCAACCCACAGGAGTGGCTCTGGCTGTCCTGTTCAGTTATTTGATCTTGCCTGTTTGGATCTTTCCTGGACTCACTGAGATGGATGCTCAGCATCTTTCAGATAAACGCCCTGTTTGCTTAAGACTAGCCAGAGTCACTTGGGTTTTTTACAATCACTAAACCTTCACTAAAATGACCCTCCAGGATCCCAGCCTCTCCAGGAATCCATGACTCAAGAAGTGGTGTCAGGGAGGATGGTATGGAGACTTCCAGAGAAGGTCTTCTAAACTTATGTCAAACCACTGGGTGGGAATTCCTGTTATGTATGAAACCTATTTTCCAAGACAGAATTGACGTGTTTTTTTCTTTTCTTACTTTCTCTCTATCCCCCGACATCAGTGTCCACATATCAGCTGGTTCAAGGCTCTGTGTAACCTGATATTACCCATGTTGAAATTCAGCGTAATTTGGCATTTGATGATCATGTGGGCTATGTTCTGTATAACCACCTAAATAATGGCCTAGACAGCAATTACTTTGGTAACCAGAGAGTAAATGGCCCAGAATCCGTCCTTTAATCTAGCAAGCAGAACGTTCTAAGGTAGAAGCCTGCAGAATGGGCAATTACTGAGCTGTCCTCCCCATTCCTCTGTGCTGAAGGTAGGGAGCCCTGGCCACCCCTAGGGCAAACCAACTTGTTCTGTAAAGCACGCGTGACCCTCAAACCAGACTTTCAGGAGCCTGACTACAGTGAAAACTTAGCAGGTTATCCCACACTCCTTTATTGTTTAGAAAGATGCATAATTATTCTGATCCTGCTGACATGAGGACTATACATTACAAAGCTATAGGATCCTAGTGGGAGCCTTCTGAAGGCAATGCCCACAAACTCTGCTTGGGTTCCAAAGGGCCCTCCTTCACACACCTGCTCTTTCTCTGCATGGATTTCCATGTATGATTACACTCAGCTTTGAAAATGCAATAGAATGTAGCAGTTAAGAGAATAAAGCTCCACCATTCACTAGCCATGTCACCTTGAGCAACGGACCTAACCTATGCCTCAGTTTCCCTAGCTGTAAGATGGAACTAATGATAGTACCTATCTCATCAGGTTGTCCTGAGAATTAGATATGAACTTGTTTAATACATGTGAAGTATGTGTACTAGTCTCAGCACTCAGGCCGCATGCCATAAGGAATAGCGATTATTATTCTGAGCTTGAATGGAAAAGAAAAGAAAAGAATATATGAGAAACTATGATGTCCCACAATGTGGCTATTTGCCACAGATCTGAATTCCAGAGTTTCCTTGTTACATGCATTCATAATAAATGCATATTCAACATGCATTTATAAAAACCCTTTACTGCAGCCAGGCGCAATGGCTCACGCCTGTAATCCCAGGACTTTGGGAGGCCAAGGCGGGCAGATCACCAGGTCAGGAGTTCGAGATCAGCCTGACCAACATGGTGAACCCCTGTCTCTACTAAAAATACAAAAATTAGCTGGGCGTGGTCATGTGCGCCTATAATCCCAGCTACTCAGGAGGCTGAGGCAGGAGAATCACTTGAACCCGGGAGGTGGAGGTTGCAGTGAACCAAGATCATGCCATTGTACTCTAGCCTGGGCAACAGGGCAAGACTCCATCTCAAAACAAAACAAAACTCTCTTTACTGAGCAGCAACCATTGTGGAGGGTCAGGTGATACAGGGACAGCAGCAGGGTGGAGATGGGAAGGCAGGTTCTTGTTCAGTGCACACACCTACTACATGTGTTTGAAAAGTTAAATGTGATTCCATTGTATGGCACTAAATACTGATTATAAAGCAGTGAGCAACAGAGACAGATTCTCTGATCTCATAAAGGTTTCATTCCAGTAGAACAGACAGATTTTAAACAATCAGCCCAGATAAAAATATAATAATAAATTGTGTTATAATTTATGAAGGAAAAATGCAGTGTGCTAAACGGTATGCATCACAGAGAGAGGGAGTGTCGTGTCGCAGAAAATCACGAGCCTGGAAGGACAAATAGAAGTTATCCAGGCAGAGTCAGGAAGACAAATTCCAGATGGAGAAAACAACATGTGCAAAGACCCCATGGCAGGAAAGAGCTCGTGTTGAAGGAGCTGAAAGAAGGCTGGAAGGTCCTTAGACAAAGGGTGATGTTGGGGGCAGGAGAGATGATTACAAAAGGCAAGAGAACTGGAAGACACATGCATTGCCGTTATCAGAGCTCCATTATACAGAGCAAGGGAAGAACATGGTTCTCAAGTCTCCTCCAAGTCTCCCGTCCTCCATACTTTCTAGTTACTTCATATTGATAGGAGAAAACTGAAATTCGTTTAGCAAACCAAGATAAGGAGAAGTATTTAAGCTGCTTACTTATATAAGACAGCAGCTTAAAAATATCTCTGTTCATGCAGTGGGTATTTCTTCAGAGGGCAGCTTGGTCTTTCAATGATATAATTTACTTCAGAGGTAGACTCTTCCTACAATAAAAACAAATCCAGCAATTATGTTACCCATAACATAATAGAGATGGATGATACCCAGAGGTATAGTTTTGCATGTAGGAGGTCTGTGCATCCAATTTATGCTGTTATATGGGGTTCACTATATACGTGTGTATGTAGAATCTTTCTTTTTTTTGTAGAGACGAGGTCTCATTATGTTGCCAGGCTGGTCTTGAACCTCCTGGCCTCAAGAGATTCTCTCTCCTCAGCCTCCCAAAGTACTAGGATTATAGATTTAAGCCCCAAACCAGGACTTTGTTTACATTTTAAAGAGAGTCCTTGCCCGAAAAGGTTAGGAATTAAAGCAAAGCCTATGACTTTGCAGAAAAGAAGTAAAGTAGTTCAGTACCCTCATGGTTAGGGCAAACAACATTTATTTTTAAGCATCATCCTGCAAATCTAGCATATGCCAGTATTTAATAAGTCAAGATGACTAATTCAAATACATGGCATCATTAAAGTCAGCCACTGGGGGCACTGTTATCCTTTATTTGAATTCTTTGGAGCTGGTAAACGGCCATTTAGCTGTGTGTCTGAAGCAGTGACAAAGTACTGGGAATACCTACCAATGGATCAGAAGCACTCCCCATACCCCTGTAAAAGTCATACAGCCAAAAACCACCTTATTAAATTTTAGAACAACTTTCTTCCATGTTGTGGCCTTACATAGTTCAAACACAACTGTATTCTTCACTGGATTGGGATTCATGTGTGCAGGGGAAAGGAATGCTCTGTGGGCCAGTTAGCCTGCTTTCTCTTAGTCCTTTGAAAGGACCTCCACTTGATGAGTGCCATGCACCAAATTAGCTGCTACTCCTCCGTTGCATCCAAGTCCCACTGTCTCATCCTCAGGAAGCCAGCCCTGACTCTCAGCCATGTCAAATACCCGCCACCATTCACTCTCAGGACAACAGGTAATCTCCTTGGTAAGCCTCACAATTTTTCACTTATTTCTGTGGTTATTTGATTAATGTCTGTCTCCCTGACTAGACTATAGGTCCCTGTTCCCATATTATTTAGTGAGCAAAGATTTAGTTTTATAAGAAAGTCTAACCTTATTTTGGTGCTGCTGTGCTCTGTGGGATGTCAGAAGACTGCATACCCTCTCATGGATATTCTTCCAAGTGGACTGAGAACCAGGATGGAACCTGCTCAACAGATGGAACAGGGTGGAATATTAAGCAGCTACTAAAAACGACACTTAAATAAAGCACATGACAATATGGATTGATATTTAAAACTTAATCATAATAAAAAATAGCAGCATGCAAAATGGTAAACATAGTGTGATTTCAATGTCTTTCTTAAACCTACCCATAGGAAAAGCACTGGGGAATAAAAACTGCTCAGATGTTAAGAATTTTTGGCCAGGCGCAGTGGCTCACGCCTGTAATCCCAGCACTTTGGGAGGCCGAGGCGGGCGGATCACAAGGCCAGGAGACCATCCCGGCTAACATGGTGAAACCCTGTCTCTACTAAAAATACAAAAAATTAGCCGGGTGTGGTGGCGGGCACCTGTAGTCCCAGCTCCTCAGGAGGCTGAGGCACGACAATGGCATGAACCCGGGAGGTGGAGCTTGCAGTGAGCCAAGATCGTGCCACTGCACTCCAGCCTGGGGGACAGAGCGAGACTCCGTCTCAAAAAAAAAAAAAAAAAAAAGAATTTTTCGTGTTTCTATGTGTGGCTATGAGTGATTCTTTTCTTCTTTGTACTTTCCTGTGTTTTTCAGATATTTCTCTCATGAACAAACCCTACTTTTACATTTAAAATTTTAATATAAAAACTTTTAATATGAAATTTAAATCCAAAAAATTTTAATATAAAATTTAATCCCAGTGGTTGTTTTAGGGAGAGATTATCACCCAGGCTAATGTACAGTGGCATGATCATAGCTCACTGCAGCCTTGAATTCTTGGACTCAAGCAATCCTCCAACTTCAGCCTCCCAGAGGATCAACTAGGTACATGTTGCCATGCCTGGCTATTTTTTTTTCTTTAAGAGATAGGGTCTTGTTACCCAGGCTGGTCTCGAACTCCTGGGTTCAAGGGATCCTCCCACCTCAATCTTCCAATGCTGGTACTACAGGTATGCACCACCATGCGGAGCTAACTTTTAAGTATTTTGTAGAGACAGGGTCTCCCTGTGCTGTCCAGGCTGGTCTCAAACTCCTGTACTCAAGTGATCCTCCTGCCTCAGCCTCCCAAAGTGCTGGGATTACAGGTGTGAGCCACTACACCCAGCCTCCAATCCTGGTTGTTTCCTACCACCAGGACTTTATCTCATATCTCATTTACTTTAGGCCACCCAGACTCCAAACTGAACCATAGGTTTGATAGTCTCTTTCAGTTCCCCAAACATAGAGCATTTTCTACCTTCCATAGGCATTTGGCAACACTGTTCCCTCTTCTACCTCCCAACCCTGCTCACTACTGTTATTAACTCCTACCCACCCTTCAGAGCTCAGTTCAATTGTTCAGTTCTCAGCAAAGTCCTTTCTGAGCCCTCTCCTGCAGAGGAGGTCAGCTTCTCTGTTATACGCACTTGCAGTTTCATTTATCTATACCTCATTAATACCATTTGCACCAGTGGACATTTTGTCATTATTTGGTTAATGGCGGTCTTTACTCCTAGAGTGAAATTGAGACTGAGACTCTTTGCTTAATAGCTCATCCCAGGGCAGAGTAGGAACTGAATAGCACAGTAAGTAGTTAATAAATATTTATTGAGTGATTGAATTCATTCTCTCATTCATTCATTCATTCATTCATTCATTCATTCATACATCCATTCATATTCAGGAGGCGGATGGTTACCAAATCCTAAAGTCTGAGGTATATAACTAATCTAAAAGTGTACATAGCAATTTGATAATGAAAAGCACAGATACGGTTTTCTAAAAATACCCAAAGAATTATAGCCACTTGGGGCCAGGCGCAGTGGCTCACACCTATAATCCCAGCACTTTGGAAGGCTGAGATGAGTGGATCACTTGAGGCCAAGAGCTCCAGACCAGCCTGGCTAACATGGTGAAACTCCATCTCTACTAAAAATATAAAAAATTAGCCAGGTGTGGTGGTGGTACATATGTAGTCCCAGATACTGGGAGGCTGAGGCATGAGAATTGCTTAAATCCAGGAGGTGGAGGTTGCAGTGAGCCGAGATGGCACCACTGTACTCCAGCCTAGGCAACATAGCAAGACTCTATCTCAAAAAAAAGAAAAGAAAATGGTTCTCTTTAATTAATGTGCGGTACACACTGGAAATGACAGGAACATCTGGAAATCCAGTTGTTACTATGGCTACCATATGAATGACCACCCTGTGCAGTTGCCCCTCTGCTTGGCTGGTTCCGGCCCACATCCGGGCCTCCATTCCAGCTCTCTCTGTGACAAGCATGTCCCGCTGGTTTTTCCAGGGAGACAAGACCAAGAGTATGAATGGATCTACACAAATCCATTGCCGACCCAAGAAAACAACTCATAGCAAATGGAAGCACCACCTAAAGCACTGCCCATGTCACTACAAACATTATTTCTATGCTTCTGTAAGAATTTTTTTTTTTTTTTTTTTTGACCCAGAGTCTCATTCTGTCACCCAGGCTGGACTACAGTGGCGTTACCTTGGCTCATTGCAACCTCTGCCTCCCAGATTCAAGCAATTCTCCTGCCTCAGCCTCCCAAGTAGCTGAGACTACAGGCATATGCCACCACGCCCAACGAATTTTTGTACTTTTCGTAGAGACAGGGTTTGGCCACGTTGGCCAGGCTGGTCTTCAATTCCTGATCTCAAGTGATCCACCCACCTCGCTTCCCAAAATGCGGGGATTACAGGCATGAGCCACCGCGCCTGGCCCTTCTCTAAGAATGTTCAAGAGGAAGGAATAGAAATATGTTGAAGCTATAAATGAAGCTAGCATTTAAAAACAGCCACCAGCTGGATACTGTAAATGTTTTTTCATAGATCTAGAGTAACCAGTACCAAAGCGACTCCTGTATTTGTTACCATTATCGTTACATGCAATTTATTTTTTTACATTTGAAGATCTCAGAGAATGATGAGTCAACAGATGGGAGCAATGCTATGCCTTTACTAGAGCCCTCTCCATGGGATCTACCTTCTCCTTTAGTAACGTGCAGAGAGAGGGTGTGCTGAAGGGGCATGACACTATTCAGATGGTGGATACAGGGAACAGGCTTGGCAGTGTTTCTCCCTCCTTTAGTACTCCCATTGTTCACTCTGATAAAGTGTTTTCTACTTCGTCCATCAAAACCTTGGGCTGACTCTCACTCCAAAATTTGTCTCCCAACTCATCCCTAAGACATTGATCCTTACTGACTTCAGTATTAAGTTAGCAGAAACACAACAGGTATTCTCATGCACCCTTGTGAACTGGGCACAGAGAAAGAGTGGTCCTGATAACGCTGGTGTGAAAAGAACACTGAGTGAGTGGAGACACAGTGCTAGCAACCCCCAGGGTCCCAGGAATCTGCCCTGGTGATCACTCTAAAGCCAACGGGCAATGTGTTCTGCAAGGACATGAAGGGCATATCCCTCGTTCAAAAGAACTGTTTTTAAAATATTATCTTCAGAGCCACTTCTCTAGTGTTAAGGTGACCAGCTGTCTTGGTTTAACTGGGACTCAGGGGGACTCAGGGGTTTCCCAGAATGCAAACTTTTGGTACTAAAACCAGGACAGCTATGGGCAAACTGGATGGCCTTTCTGTGGCTGTGTTATTCTTTGTCACTGATAATCATGGCCTTATTTACAAACTCATAGTCCAACTAAGTCCCAAGCTACCAGTTTAGAGAGACTTTGGGCACAAAGAATTTGCTGCCTCATCAGAGATGGCCAGTAAAACTCTGGTCTGCAGCTAAGACTCATCTTTCTAAAGTCACTTATGCCAACTCCTGTGACTAATATCACAGAGCTCCTCACTCCTTCCAAGCAAAGCCCAAACTCCTTAGGTCAAGCAACAAAGGTCCCCCTCAAACCTTTGAGTACTGGCACCAACTTTCTCCAAACTTCTTAACTGCTGGAAGCTGACAGTGCCCCTGCCTCCCACCTCCCATCACTCACCTCCATGAACCCCATCATAATCCAATCTTCTCCCCTCACCACCACATGAAAGCATCACCTCCTCCATTAAAACACTCCAAAAGTTCCACCCTTTTTCTTTATACTCCAGTAACTTTTGTTCCACACTATTCACAAAGTTCTGCTTTGTAGAAAGCTCTTCGCATGCTTCTTTTTTATTATTATTATTATTTTTTATATCCTCTACTAGGTTGCAAGTTTTCAGAGATCAGGAGAAATGTCTTAAATGTCAGTGTTCCCATTCCAGGCCTAGCAGATTGAGTATCAATCCTACTTTCCTCTTAACCACAGATTTCATGCACTCCCCGCCCACACACTCAATTCCAATCCTAGTTGATTTTGACTCAGTAAACAAGAGGCAATTCTTCTGTTGGCCAGAGTTGAGAATTGCTGGCCTGCTGCATAAAGACGCTCAGGAAAGGCTGGCTGAATGAATGCATAAACTATCTAACATGTATTTAAAGAGAAAAGACGCCTTCTCAGATCTCTCTCCTGATGGAATTGATTTCCTCCCACTCTGTCTTTCCCCTGCATTTGGATTGTACTTCTGTTAAGTGTTAAGTGCCTACCACAGTCTATCTCATATTCAGTGACATGGTGTATGCCTGCCTTCCTGTCTAGTATGTGAGCCAGTGGAAAGCAGAGATGTGTCATGATGGTGTCCATTGTCCACAACAGTTACCCAATAACAGCATGCTCAATACAGTCTCTCAGAAAAGCTTGCAGTACTGATTTTAAGGAGTTTGGGAGGTGTTATAGATAGAAAGCACAGGGACAAAAAAAAACCACGGGTTTTCCCCAGTTCTGGCAGCTGAGAAGCACTTTGTGGCTGTATGCAGATGGATCTTTGATCATCACATCCATTTTAAAGATGAGGAAACTGAGGTTTAAAAGGTTGAAGCTGAGCACGGTGGCTCATGCCAGTACCCAGCACTTTGGGAGGCCAAGACAATTGCTTGAGCCCAGGAGTTTGAGAAGAGCCTGGGCAACACAGTGAGATCCCATCTCTACAAAAATAAAAGTACGAAAATCAGCCAGGCATGGTGGTGCGCACCTGTAGTCCCAGCTACTCAGGAGGCTGAGGCAGGAGGATTGCTTGGGTTGGGGAAGTCAAGGCTGCAGTGAGCTGTGATTGTGCCACTGCACTCCACCTGGGTGACAAAGCAAGACCCGATCTCAAAAAAAGAAATTAATTAATTAAAAAAATTAGGTCAAGTAGCTGTGTGAAATCACCCAGCACTTAGAGACACATGAGCGCTAGAGCCCATGTCTCCTGACCACTGCCAATTGAAAGTTCTTTCCACTCTTCATTTAAAATCAATCCTTTACAAGTCTTTAAATCCAGGATAACCTCCTGTGCTTTGCCAGTCTGCTGAATTCCAGGCTGGTGGCAAAAGCATAAGACAGGAGGGGACAGAGGCCAGGCACAGAGAGGTATAAGTGTGTCTCTGACCACCTGTCTCTGTGTGCCAGAGCCAGTTTTTTTGTTTGTTTGTTTTAAACGGAATTTTGTTCTTGTTGCCCAGGCTGGAGTGCAATGGCACGATCTCGGATCACCACAACCTCCGCCTCCCGGGTTCAAGCAATTCTCCTGCCTTACCCTCCCGAGTAGCTGGGATTACAGGCATATGCCACCACGTCTGGCTAATTTTGTATTTTTAGTAGAGACAGGGTTTCTCCATGTTGGTTAGGCTGGTCTCAAACTCCTGACCTCAGGTGATCCACCCGCCTTGGCCTCCCAAAGTGCTGGGATTACAGGCATAAGCCATCGCACCCAGCCCAGAGCCAGTTTTTTTTTAATCTATGTTGTATTGTTTTCCTCTAATAAAGTAACTAATCAAAAGCTCACCATATATTAATGGATTTTATTAAAATATGTGATCTGGCTTCCTTAAATCCATGATTTAACATTTGAATATACAGTTATTTTGTCATTTCTGAAAAACGCTAAGAATAGACAGCCATTTTCTTAGTCTACCTCGAAGTTAATATAATTCCTGTAAAAATTTCAGGGCCACTGTGGTTCTGGGATATATTTACTCTGAGTCCCTTGTGAGCAATTGTGTTATTCTGGTAGGCACAGTTTGCTTCTTATTCTCATCACTAATAATGCAGAGAAAAGCAGATTGGCATATCCTTCATTCAAAATAACAATCTTATAAATATTATTGTCAGTGCCACTTCCCTGAACTTCAAGTAACCAACTGTCCTGGTTTGCCTAAGACTCAAGGGTTTCCCAGAATGCAGGACTTTCAGGGCTAAAATCAGGCAGACTCAAGCAAACGAATGGTTACTTACCCTACTAGAGTGTGCCATTTGGCAAATAAAGGTTTCTGTTCTTACTCTCTGGCCTGCTCTCCAGACATATGCAAATATAATTTTGTTATTTTTGAAAATAATGTAAACAAAGAAACCATGTCTAGAAAAAGAATATACGCCCATATGTTAACATTTGTCTTTGGGTGGTAGGACTATGGGTAATTTTTTTCCCCTTTTTTTTCTGTCATTTTCAAACTTTCTGTAGTGAACATTTCTATACTGGTAAAATAAAAAGGTTTAGTTTTTAAATGTATGACAAATAAAAATGGGTAGATAAATAGTACCTATGTCAAAGTTAGTTGTCTATTCCATTCACAGCAAATATTCTGAGATATGCCTCTGGCTTTTGGGTAGATTTTAAAAGAAATAATCATTTTTTCATATCAAGGTGTCACCAGCTGAATATTCCTAAGAAAGGAAGCTGATGAAATGACCCAGCTTTACCCCTGCCAGGCCACAATGCACTCTTCAGGCAAACAGATGGGTGCTTGATACTGACCTTTCTCTGAGAAGGGGCTGATCCAAGGGTCCGAGAGAGCTGGAATGCTGGGAGGTGGCAAATGAAGCTTTCCGGTGGAAATCGGCATCACCTTGTTTACTGGACGAGGACTTTCCAAACTGACTTGAATCTAAACGTGATGATGAGTCACTCCTTAAAATAATCCGTTCATCTGGCTCTCTGATAACCTGAGTGAATGCGCATTATTTAATTGTAATTTTGCTTCTGTTTGCTTAATTTAGAGCTGGGGGTGGGGTTGAACAAGGAAGACAACTAGGGCTAAGATGACAGAACATTTGCGCCAGGGATCTCCCGCAAATAGAAGAGGATCTGGAGAAGTGAAGACTAGTGACAAAATGCTCAGGAGTTAAGACTGATAAAAATAACCAAAAGTCTGTATGTTTGGGATATATTAACAAACCAAAATAAACTCACGCTGTAAACTTTGATTTCTGAGGACTAGGGATTATTGATCTGGGAAAAATATAACTTTAACAAAATATTTAAGTGCTATGGCATAAGAAGCATAGTATATTCCATTTTCTCTGCATAAATCTATTCTCATGTTGTTACACAGAAGTTTGAGCCTTCACTTTGACAAACCAATCAAACTTCAAGAACAAATGATTTACCACCTCTATGTATAAAATTATTTGCTTGGAGAAAAAGCAATAAAAATCACTACCAATAAAGTAGGTATTGGGTCTACATACACCCTCCGTGGTGATTCATCCTACTTATATGAGGGGCACAAACCAGCTAACCCCAAAGCAAAGTATAACATGGAGTCTGGGCACATCTTCAAACAAACACTAAACTACAGCAATTCCACCTAAGCAGACTAACTAGAAATATCCACCACTGATTGGAAAAAGCACAATAATTGACATAAGATAGCTTGAAGTAAATCATTTTACAAATTCTATTTCTAAAATTACCTTTACATTAGCTGCAAGGCTGTCAAGAGAAGAAGCTAGAAGAAAGAGGAACAGGTGTTTCAATGACTCATTATTACCATTTAGCTTTAAAACTGCCATTATATTTATTCTACAGCAGTACAAAAATTTTAGACAATGAATGAATTATTTAAAAACTTAAATGCTCCCTTGTAAGTTACACTACCACTTTTAAGTCTCCCTTACGCCACTTCAATTCTCTGGGTCGTGGGGTTTTTTTGTTTTGTTTTTGTCTTTTTGAGGTTAACAATGAGGTTTTCTGGGTTTTTTGTTTGTTTGTTTTTTGGGTTTTTGTTTTTGTTTTTTTTTTTGAGATGGAGTCTCACACTGTCGCCCAGGATGGAGTGCAATGGCACGATCTCAGCTCACTGCAACTTCCGCCTCCCGGGTTCAAGCGATTCTCCTGCCTCAGCCTCCAGACTAGCTGGGATTACAGGTGCCCACCACTACGCCCAGCTAAATTTTTGTATTTTTAGTAGAGATGGGGTTTTGCTATGTTGGCCAGGCTGATCTCGAACTCCTGACCTCAGGTGATCCACCCACCTTGGCCTCCCAAAGTGCTGGGATTACAGGTGTGAGCCTCTGGACGATTTGTCTTCAATGACAGCACGTATGGAAGAGGGAAGGGTAAAGCAAGTCTAAAGTGAATGAGTAAGTTCAATAACCCTTAAGCAGCCTGAAAAACTCGTATTTGAGTAGGTGCCCAGAACCTAAAAAAAAGTACTATGTGTCTAACATAAAATTTGTAAACTGTCTCCTCTGACATTTTCTTTGGTTTTCATGGAATCCTATTTATGCAGGAGCTCTTGAATATATTTGTCCAAGGTAGACACAAATGTTAAATTGAGACAACAAATACGTAAAAGCTTGGAGAAATACAGAACATAGCAAAAATGGAAATCACTATCATGACTGTAAATGATCATGATAGGTAAGTAGACCTAATGCCGAAGTATGGCAAGGATGACTAGGAAATGAGGTAATAAAGACACAGAGAAAGTGAAGACTAGGTTGGATTTTTCCAGGTTGATTAAAAAATGTTTTTAAAATTAGTATTTGTAAGACAATGCTAAGGTCACCATGGCTTCCCCCAGTGTGACCGGGGCTCAGGCAATGACAAAGGACTTTTTCTGGACTACTGATCCCCCTCCCCATGTCACTGGTAGATATAAAAAGAGATTTTTAAAGCCAGACCATTTTCATATCCTTTAGGCATATAGATATGTAGGTACCACTTTGTCCCAGGAGCTCTCTTTGCACCCACCCCCAGCTGGGCAGGGAGTCAGCAATGCTAATGCCCTTTCAGCTATAGCCACAAACCTGCCCTGTGGCCTCATAACCTCCTTCTCATAACCCCCTTCTCATAACCTCCTTCCAGTGTGGCCTCATAACCTGTGGCCTCATAACCTCCTTCCTCCTGTGGCCTCATAACCCTGTGGCCTCAGAAACTCCTACCTACTGGTTTTGAGCCCTTCCTTTCACAGGGGGGCTCGCCTTCATTCCCTTGCTTCTCAAAGTGCAGTCCCTGGACCAGTAGCATTCATATCACCTGGAAGCCTGTTAGAAAAGGAGAAACCTAAGCTCCACCCCAGCCCTAATGAATCAGAATCTGCAGTTTAACAAGAGCCCCAGGTGATTCAAATGCACATTCAAGTTTGAGAAGCACTGCTGTGTTCTACCTTAGGCCTGGATGAATGAGCTGACAGGTGACCTAAGCAAAGTTCTGGCTTGAAAGCTACAGGGATTCCAAGGATCTGAGGCCAGAGGTCTGAATGTCTTCTCTAAATGTAGGTATGCCAAAAACCTGGTGTGTGACCTTTACACACATTGTAACCTCTCTGGAACCTTAGTTCTCCACCTGTGAGGATTAAGAAAAGACAAAGGCCGAGACCAATGTGATGTGTGAGTCCCATCATAATAGAGCCTGCATTAAACCCAACTTGTCCGCCCCAGGAAAGGACATTTGCTGTTGCGTGATTTCACTGCAGTAGAGAAGACAATGCTGCTTTATAAGCTACCCGGGTGACTTTCAATTCAAAGAACTTAAATTAAATGTCAGATGTGATGAAGCACATTCTGCTTCAAACCCGGTACTCTGTCCTTGGCCAGCTGCTGTCAAAGAGCTACCACAGTCTAAGAACACTGGCTTAAGTTACCATAAGAGGCTTAAAAGTAGACCCTTAAAAGTGTAAACCTTTAAGCCTAAGATAAAGAACTCTACTGTCAGGGATGGCAATAGATGGAAAGTTCAGTGCTACCAGCAGGCAAGAGAATGGACCACCACCATTCCTTTCCAGCCTAAGAATTTTGATTAATTTCAGGAATGACTGATCTTCACCAACACGACCTTCACTAACAACATGATTCATGGATTTCAGTCAAAAGCCTACAAGGAATTCCTTAACCCAGTGACTCTTAATGTGTGGTCCAGGGATCTCCCCCAAGGGTCCCCAAGACCTTTCAGGAAATCTGCAAGGTCAAACTGTTTTCATAGTAATACTAAGACATGATTTGCCTCTTTCATTCCCATTCTCTCACCACTGCACAATGGAGTTTTCCAAAAGCCACAATGATGTTATGACATCATCATGATGATGATGGCTAATGGAATAGAAATACTAGTCTATTCTTTTTTTTTTTTTTTTTTTTTTTTTGAGACTGAGTTTCACTCTTGTTGTTTAGGGTGGAGTGCAATGGCACAATCTCGGCTCACCACAACCTCTGCCTCCCATGTTCAAGCAATTCTCCTGCCTCAGCCTCCCGAGTAGCTGGGATTACAGGCATGCGCCACCATGCCTGGCTAATTTTGTAATTTTAGTAGAGATGGGGTTCCTCCATGTTGGTCAGGTTAGTCTCAAATTCCCAACCTCAGGTAATCTGCCTGCCTCAGCCTCCCAAAGTGCTGGGATTACAGGCGTGAGTCATTGCACCTGGCCGTAGTCTATTCTTATATTTTAAAAATGTATCAGTTTTAATTTCTAACATGCTAACTACTGATGTTATCCACATCAAGAAAAGCTCTCTGGGCTCCTCAATAATATTAAGAATGCAAAAGGGCCTGAAATCTAAAGGTTTAAAAATACCCTGCCTTCATCTAACTGCTTCAGATAGAGTTGGCTTCCCACCTTACTGACATGAAATCTTGTAAAGCAAATGTTACATCTCCTGATCACCATCAATCTCCTGTTTTTTCCCATCCAGAAAAATGGAAAGCCTTATTTGTTAGGCATCAATGGTGACTTTGCAAAGGGTTCACAGCAGGACAAGTTGCACTCTGCTTTCCCAGCCCAGCCAGGGAACAGCCAGGGAACAACTGCAACCACAGCACACTCAGCACGCTGCTCAGAACGGTCCCCTTCAATGACGAGGGGAACTCTCAGACAGAAGCTTCTCAGCTGACTCTGCTTCGTGGGACCACTGCCCTGGAAATTCCACAGCTGGAGAGGACTTGAGAATTAGGCCCACAGTTCCGAACATAACCTGTGATTCCTCAGAATGAAAGAGTATACACAGGACACATTTGTTGCCACAGGGAAATGTACAGGAGTAACAAGAAACTCAAGTACCTCTTCTCATTGGAAACGGAAAGTCTGAAAACTTAGATTTTCTTCTACACCTCCTCAAATGATGCTCTGAAATATTCTCACCAAAGGGCTTTGCACTGTCCACCTGAAAGTAAAGGAAAGAAATAAGACTAGAATCCACTATAGCTTCTAGTACCCTCCCCTCATCACTGGTAATGCCTGTCTCCCCCTCAATCACTGATTACACAGGTTGGAAAAAGAAGGCTGGAAAACCACCTAGATCACAGTCTCCAAGTTTGCTACATGTTACACCTAAAAGGAGAAACTCTCTGTCCTTCATTGAGGCTAGAACATGAGGACATAGGCTAAACATTAGCATAAGGAACTAAAGTTAGACACAAATTACATTCCAACAACTGGTAAGGATACAGCACAGAAAGAGGGCAAGTGAAGCTTTATTTCACAATCTCTTAAAATAGGACAATATTTCACATTCCTTAAACAGTGTGAGTAGTGGTGGCCTAAGTGGGGTCCTCACTGACAGCAAGGGATTCCCACAAGATGACATTTCTACTTTCCACATTCCTCTCTGGTCCAAGTGTCTACATTTTTGAAAAAAAGAATAATGGTAGCTAGGCTGGGTGCAGGGGCTCACGCTTGTAATCCTACCACTTTGGGAGGCCAAGGAGGGAGGATCACCTGAGGTCAGGAGTTCGAGACCACCTTGACCAACATGGAGAAACCTCATCTCTACTAAAAATACAAAAATCAGCTGGGCGTGGTGGCACATGCCTGTAAACTCAGCTACTTGGGAGGCCGAGGCAGGAGAATCGCTTGAACCTGGGAGGCGGAGGTTGCGATGCCCCGAGATCACGACATTGCACTCCAGCCTGGGCAACAAGAGTGAAACTCCATCTCAAAAAAATAATAATAATAAATAATAATAATAGCAACTATATTATTTTATCTATGGTGACTGACCATATTTTCCTAAGGAAAAATTGGGTAACATGATCTGCAAACAGGTCAAAACACGTGAACTAGGGACTCTTCCAAATATCTACAATATAGAGGTGCTGAATTTTTTTTATTTCTGTTTTTTAAAATTTTAATAAGGCAGGTTATAATGTTACTTTTCATTTTACTTTAATATATTGACTTGAATTTATAGTCTTTATAACATCAGGTTTTCTAAATTTTAATGCTTCTACTTAAGGAAACATCACATATCATCAGAAAATCTGACTAAATAAAAAAATTAAATATGCCAAATCACTGATAAAAGACTTTGGCGCATAGGAAAAACTATATAAGAATTTGTTAAATAAAATAAGTATCAAACAAGTTTTAATCCCCTAAGAAATCTACCAAGATTTTAAGATTACTTAGTTCATAATGGCATGGACTAAAGTTGTATTTTACAATAATTTATATCAAATGAAGTAAATCAGATATATATTCAACAAAATGAAATAAATGAACTCAATTCGATATTTTTATGGCCCCATGTTTAAAGATTGGTCGTTAGATTTTTGCCAGATGTCATTACCCAGGCCACCAAGACAACAGCTGTTGTGTATTTTTTGTAGATAGCTGTTCTGCAGTTTCTAGCCAAACAGTTCTACAAACCAATTCTACATACAGTCATCTCAGCAGCACCTTCACTTCAAGACTTACTACACTTCACAGTCTCTGCCTAATACACAAACATCACCACTGGTGACTTTAAATCAAAATATCAACTTAATGATACTATCAATAGTTAACATTCTGGAGAATAAGTCATTAATTAGAACATGAACTGGTGTTCCTGTAGACTGCAAAATAACACAGGAAATTTTTTAAATATAATTTTAATCGGAATATGTAGGAAAACTAATCTGTATATACAGTATAATTACAACTTTGTGGAAAAAATAAAGCCTATGAATGCAAGTATAATGTAGAGAAATTGAGTCAAATTAAATCAAACAATGATTTTATTATGCTGGTGAGCCAATGGATTAATTTTTTTCCTGAACTTTTCTGTTTTCCATTACTTTTATAGTAGCAAAAAAGTTGTAGGCCGGGTGCAGTGGCTCATGCCTGTAATCCCAGCACTGTGGGAGGCCGATGTGGGTGCATCACCTGAGGTCAGGAGTTCGAGACCAGCCTGACCAACACGGTAAAACCCTGTCTTTACTAAAAGCACAAAAATTAGCTGGGTGTGGTGGTGGGCACCTGTAATCCCACCTACTCAGCAGGCTGAGGCAGGAGAATCACTTGAACGTGGTAGGCGGAGGTTGCAGTAAGCTGAAATTGTATCACTGCACTCTAGCCTAGGCAACAGTGCAAGACTCTGTCTCAAAAAAAAAAAAAAAAATTGTAAAGAGACTAAGAGAACTAGTGTGATTAAATTTGCCCACCATTGCCAGAGGACATAATCTAAGATGACTTTAATTAAGTGCTTTGAGTATCGCACAACATTGCTTCTTCCTGCAGACAAACTTTTCTGGCTCTTCAACATATGGCCACTGAGCACCAATCTCATTAAGAAAACTCATGTAGTTTTCTTTAAAACTGATGAAGCTTTAGTTTTGGATTGATACAGAGTGCATGCCAACCTTCGTTACGCGTTTTCAACCTCTGTCAGTTCACTGACTCTTCAAGATAACAGCAAGTTATCATGTGTAGACATTATACTCTGCTAATAATTTTCAAAAATTAAAAATAGGGATGGCTGACATTTACTGAGCAAGTCTACTTTATAGGGCACCTTTCTAAGAGTTTCCTGACAATGATCTAGGAAATTAACATAATTTAATCACAATTTTTATTCAATTTGAAGTACCTTTTTATTTAATATTATTCATTTGTTATTATAGCTCAAACTTCCTTTATTCCACCCTCATCCATATCCTCACTATTGCAAAATACTCTAAAAAATAATTTTAGGCTCACATGTCTAACAACAAATGGAGGCTTGCTTCCTCCAGAGATTTTGAAATTACTTCCAAGGTTCAACTGAACTGGCTGGTCCTGGAAGAAATGCCTGGTAGAACATGGAGAGGGCTCCCGGGCTTGCATGCCTTTGGGCAGTCTGTTGAGGTTATTCTCCTTTAGTTTCATCTTTATAGTATTTAAGGGAAATATTGGTTCATGTGATGTAGATAAAGGCCTTCGTGACTTATGTCTTTCTTCCTGAAATAAACAAAAAAAAAAGAATATTTTCAAAAATAAATAAAGAAAAAAAATTCAATCAGAATATAACTGTATTTAATTGAACTTTAAAAAATTAAGGTCAAAGATAGAACACCTCAGATTTATAAAACATAAACTTAAGGAAGGACATTTCTCTAATTTTTTTCCTATTCAGTTCAACATCATTAGTATTTATACCTTGCTAGTATAATGTATTCAACTAATTAACAGTGAGATTTATTTATAACGGGAAAGTTAGAAAGTGTCAGACACCTCCAATAGATAGATAATAGAGAATTTGACACATACAGGGGTCTAGCAATTTCACTTCCAGGAATGTACTATAAGGAAATAACTATGGCTATATGTATAGCTACAAAAATGCTTATGGTAATTCAAAAGTTAGAAACCAACTGTACTGGTGAGTAAGCAATTGCGCTCAGTTGCAAATCCACCTCAGCTATACAATACTGACCCAGGGACTCTACAAACCCCCTTTTTGCTTTTCCAGCTGGTCTCTGTAGGCTCTGCCACTAGAAGGTGCTAGAGAAAGCGCAAGGCTGGAGGAGATACAGTGACTGGCTACTTCCAGTTTTGTATTCTATTCCTGTTAGCATCATTCCAGCAACAATTCTTCCCCTTAACAGCTGCAAGTGGCTCCAGATTATAGCCTTTCCCCTATTATGCCAGAACTAGCCCCACTGCACCCCTCCAGACATATCAACAGCAGCGGGCCAGAGCCCCCTGTTCAGATTTGAGTCTAGACTCACAGGAACCTTCCTCCAAGCTCCTGTGGCACCAGCAGGGAGCAGTGCCCCTCCTTAGAGATCTGAGTTCCAGCTCATCAGAGTCCCACCTTCGAATTCCTGAAGAAGCATCCAGGAAAGCAGCCCTTCTCCAGAGGTCTGGGTCCCATTTCTGTTCAGTCTCTTCTTTAAGCTTCTGTGTTCTGGCTGACCCAACATCTTCCCTTTGTTTCCCCAGCCCTAGGGGTGGAAGCTGCTTCCTGCAGTTACTCTTCATTTCAGTGTTCCCCTTTTACCTTTCAGTCTTTCAACCCCTGTTTAGCCATTTTTTTAAATTAAATCTTTCTGTTACAATCACAAGTTTGGTGTGGTTTCCTGACTGGACCCTGGCTGATATGTCAGTTAAGTGCTCAACAAAAGGAAAATGAATGGCCAAACAGATTACAGTACTTCCATATAATGGAATACTATGAAACCATGAAAAATTGTCTGGCACAAGAATACCTGAGGACATGAGAAAATGTTTATGATAAGTTAAGTAAAAAAAAGAAGGGTACAAAATAATATGCAATGCAGTGTGATCTCAATCTTTTTTAAAAGTGTGTGTGTGTGTACAGAATATACCAAAAAAATTAATGCTGATCTCTAAATGGCAAAAATGGGACAGGTTTTTAAAATTTTGGGTCCTTTTCGCTTATTTATCTTTGTTTTCTAATTTTCCAAAATAAAGTGATACTTTTAAGAAAAAAAAAAAAGAACAGACTGAGTGCGGTGGCTCATGCCTGTAATCCCAACACTTTGGGAGGCTGAAGCAGAGGATCTCTTGAGGCCAGGAGTTCAAAAAAAAAAAAAACAATAAAACTATTTGTTTAAAAAGTTAACACTGAAAGGAAGACCTAGGAAGTTAAAATAGAATTAAAATGGTAGAACAGAAGAGAAAGAAACACTGAAAAATTGCTATGAACATATCACAAATAAATTGGAGAGAAAAGAGGATAAATAAGGTGAAACTAAAAAGCAGATAACGCCTTCCTTAAAATTAATCACTGGTCTCCCATTATATGAGTTATTATGCTGCGAGGTTTGATAGATTTGCAGAGATTATTGGCCCTTCTTTCTCATTCAGAATCCCATAACACACAGCCCACATTTTCAAGGTCTTTTCTAGGACCATACATAAGATCTGGGATAAGCATTTTGTTTCACATACAGGTTTTACTCTACCGTGTCCCAGAGTATTTGAAGAAGCTTCACAAACTACCTTTATTCCTTCTCTATCTTGTTCTAGAAAAGATTTTAAGTGGCAACAACATTATATACAATAAGGTAAAAGCAAAACAGAAAGAAATTGGGGTGAGGGGGACACTAGGACTGAAGAAGAGAGTAAAATTGAGGTAGTACACATGGATGCCCTAAGACGCTTCACGTTTACCAAAGATGGACCATGAATACAATCTGAGCATCAGCCTCAGCAAAAGAAAGATGGCCCCATGTTTACTGCAGCACTATTCACAATAGCCAAGATTTGGAATCAACCTAAGTGTCCATCAACATATGAATGGATAAAGAAATTATATTATATACATATGATGGAATACTGTTCAGCCACAAAAAATAATGAGATCCTGTCTTGCAACAACATGGATGAAGTTAAGGCCATTATATCAAGTGAAATAAGCCAGGCACAGAAAGATAAACTTCATATATTCTCACTTATTTGTGGGAGCTAAAAATTAAAACAATTGAACTCATGGAGACAGACAGTAGAATGATGGTTACCAGAGGATGGGAAGGGTTGTGGGGGCTGAGGGGCAGTGGAGATGGTTAATGGGTAAAAAAAAAAAAATAGAAAAAATGAGTAAGATCTAGTATTTGATAGAACAACAGGGTGACTATAGTCAATAATAATTTAACTGTAAATTTTAAAATAACTAAAAGAATATAATTGGATTGTTTGTAACTCAAAGGATAAATGTTTTAGGTGATAGATACACCATTTACCTTGATGTGATTATTACACACTGTATGCCTATATCAAAATATCTCATGTACTCCATAAATATATATAGGTATTATGTATCCATGAAAAAATAAAATTTCTAAATTTTTATTTTATTTTTATTATTTTTTATTTATTTATTTTATTTGAGACAGAGTCTCACTCTGTCACCCAGGCTGAAGTGCAGTAGAGCCATCTTGGCTTACTGCAGCTTTGACCTCCCAGGCTCAGGCGATTTGCATGCCTCAGCCTCCCAAGTAGCTGGGATTACAGGCGTACACCACTATGCCCAGCTAACTTTTGTATTTTTGGTAGAGATGGGGTTTCACCATGTTGCCTGGGCTGTTCTCTAACTCCTGACCTCAGGTGATCCATCCGCCTCGGCCTCCCAAAGTGCTGGGATCACAGGCATGAGCCACCATGCCTAGCCTAAAATTTTTGAACTTTTAAAAAAGAAAGATGGAAACTGCTGTTCATAAGATCAAAAGTAAATGTCATAGAACGACAATAACAAAAGCTAATTAGCTCAGTTACATCAAATTTGTAATTTTAGCTTCTGAATCACCCTGCTTCCAGCTACATCATGCTGCCAAACATATGTGCCAAACATACTCTAATATGACTGGCTGAGTAAACAGTTTGAATTACAGAAATTCAAACCTAGTAAAAACTTTCCAGGTTTCTACTTGTTTAGTTTCATGTAAACTTGATAAACTGAGTTTGGGCAAAAATTCTTTAAATTAGGAAAAAAAAAAAAAATCCGGTCATTTCTATCACTAGATTTGTATTGTACTTACAAGAAATCTGTTTCTATGCAGAAACACACATTCTCTGATGGCTGTCCTTGTAGAAAACTCTATTTTAGGAGCAATTCCCTAAAAATAAAACAGTATAAGAAAAGCAAATAAAATTACTAGAAACAGTTCTTTGGCCATCTCATTCTAACTTAAAATCATACAAGAACCTAACTGCTCTTCTGTGTGGTTGGCATAATCCACACACATTATCTAAAATATATATGTAATAAGAATAGCTAAATACTTATGTAATATATATTATGTATCAGAGCCAGGCCTAAGTAATTCATATATATTAACTCATCCAATCCTAACACAACCCCATGAGGCAGGTTTTATAATAGTACTCCTCAATTAAGACACAGTTTAAGTAACATGTCCATCTAGTAATGATGGCTATTAATTGAACCCAGGCATTCCGGCTCCAGTGTCCATGATGTTAGCTACTCTATTTAAAACACCGCACCATGGAATTGAATGCGATTACCTAGAGAGAGGTATGTATAATGTATAGAGTCTTCCTCTCTACCTACCTGCTTTGAAAAACTTGCTTTATATCTCATATCAGATATTTGTATTCATTAGACCTAATTCCAAATTAATTTTGTTTCATTGATTTGATATTTCTATTTTTTGTCCTCAGTACCATACTGTCTAAAATATTGGGTTATATATATATATGTGTGTGTGTATATATATCCTATCCTGTTTAATTCTTATAATCCTATAGGGTAGGTACAATTATTATAATCATCCTGTTTTACAGATGTTAAAACTGAAAAATGGGCAAAAACTAGAAACAATCCAAACACTCTTAATGGGTAAACAGATGAACCGTGGTGTATTTACATAATGGAAACTACTCAGTAATAACAAGGAACAAATGAATGACACACACAACTACATGGATGGATCTCAACAGCGTTCTTCTAAGTGAGAAAAGCCATTCTCAAAAGGTTACAGACTGTATGATTCCATTTATGTAACATTCTCAAAAAAACAAAACTATGGTGATGGAGAAAAAACTAGTGCTTAGGGTCAGGGGAAGGGTGTGCCTATAAAGGGGTAACATGAGGGGGATTTTAGGAGTGATGGGATTGTTCTATATCCCGATCGTAGTAGTGGTTTTACAAATCTATACACGTGCTAAAATTCACAGAACTGTAGACCAAAAAAGCATCAATTTTATTGTATAATAATTTTTAAAATACAACTGCTTTCCCCAAAAAATGAGGCCTAACGAGACATTAAGGCAATTTTCCCAAATTTACAAGGCTTATAAATGGCACCACAGCGACAGGACCTGGATCTGACTAAATTACACTGTCTCCATCTGACCCCATCGACTCACCAGTGGCCCCTCTGCATGACCTCTCTGCTCTACTCTCCCCCAGAGACCACCACCTGGCCAAGTTACTTCTTGTCCTGAGGGCACCTTCCTTCTCTTCTTTTCCATCCAAATTTTACCCATCTCTCAATGTCTGATCTCACTCTAACTCCTCCAGGTAAGCCTATAGTAGTCTCTCCCTCCAGTCTCTAATATTTCATTTTCATTTATACAACTTATACTCAAGGTGCTTCCATAACAGGGTCTGCCCCAGCTGAAGCCCTCGAAAGAAAGGAAGCCAACATCTACTGCATGCTTATTACATGTGCCAGCTTCTGTTAAGGGTTTCCAGAGGCACGATCTCATCTAATCCTCACACAACCTGTGTAGTAGACCACTGTATTCCCATTTTACACAGGAGGGAACAGACTTGGAGAGGTTTAATAGTATGCCCAATGTCACACAGGTGGGTAGACCCAGGATTTGAAACTCTGCTGAATTGGCCAGGCACTGTGGCTCACACCCGTAATCCCAGCACATTGGGAGGCCAAGGCGGGCAGATCACGAGATCAAGAGATCGAGACCATCCTGGCCAACATGGTGAAACCCATTCTCTACTAAAAATACAAAAATTAGCTGGGTGTGATGGCGTGAGCCTGTAATCCCAGCTATTCAGGAGGCTGAGGCAGGAGAATCGCTTGAACCCGGGAGACGGAAGTTGCAGTGAGCCGAGATCGCGCCACTGCACTCCAGCCTGATGACAGAGAGAGACTCAAGAAAAAAAAAAAAAAAAGAAAGAAAGAAAAAAGAAACTCTGCTGAACTACTACAAAACCTACCTTCTTTCCATTTCCTCATGCTATCTCTTCAGGGGCCTTGTGAATCAGCTAGTCAGCTTGTTTCCTGTGCATTCATTCATTCCTGTGCACCCATCCTGTCTACACAAGTCCTCACAGGTACAATCTATATCCTTAACTCCTTTTTATATTGCCTGTAGAATGCACAGTATGCACACAAGAGTGCAAAGCTTGGACAGACAACTCAAGAAAACATTTCTAGGCTTATAAACACAGGGGCCAAGATGCTACACAGAGTCAGACAATGCAGAGGGACATTTGATAAAGAATGTACAATCATATGACTAGTACAGCCTCATCTTTTCTTAACCAGATGGCTTACAAGAAGAAGAAGGCAAGGAGAATTTCAGTGTCCACAGTGCTACTGGTAGAATCATATGACCCTCACATGTGTGCCAAGCCTCAGGTCCCCCACAGCCCAGTGGCCTGAGCCTGAACAAGTCATCTCTCATGCCACAGTCTTGTGCAGTCTTCTCATTGCCTCACAGGGAGACAGTATTAACCCTTGGATGACAGCACAATAAATAATAACAGCTTAGATTTATTGTACACTTAACTATATACCAGGTATTATGCTAAACACTGTGTATTACCTCATCTAACACTCACAATAATCCTGTGAGGGATGTACCATTACAGTCCCATTTTACAGATGAGTAAACTAAGGCACAAAGAGATTAACTTACCCAAAGTCTCATAGCCATTCATGACAAAACTGGGAATGAACCCAGACAATCTGATTCCATACTAAACCACTGTACATGCAGCTACCTAATAGATTTTCAAGTTCCTGATCCACTTTGCCCAGAGAGGAGGAAGGAAGTCCCCTGCTGGTAAGGAACCCACATTCTGTAACACATTTTTGTTCACCTTATATGACCTCCACTCCTTGCCATGACTTACAGACAATAAAGAAGAATGTATTTTCTTTTTCATACCGTGCTGCTTTTAGCATAACATTTTACTTTAGAGTTGAAATTTAGAGACTATATCTCAACCAGTCTCCTTACCAATGGAATGATGTTGATAACAGTTAGGTCAATGAAAGGATTTAACATAATAAATAACATAATAACATAAACAAATAAAAATAATTTTTAAATGCTTTTTATGCTCACTTTACAAAGTCAGTCTTAACCTAACATAATAATAGATAATTGGCTGGGCGCGGTGGCTCAAGCCTGTAATCCCAGCACTTTGGGAGGCCGAGACGGGCGGATCACGAGGTCAGGAGATCGAGACCATCCTGGTTAACACGGTGAAACCCCGTCTCTACTAAAAAATACAAAAAACTAGCCGGCCGAGGTGGCGGACGCCTGTAGTCCCAGCTACTCGGGAGGCGGAGGCAGGAGAATGGCGTGAACCCGGAAGGCGGAGCTTGCAGTGAGCTGAGATCCAGCCACTGCACTCCAGCCTGGGTGACAGCGCGAGACTCCGTCTCAAAAAAAATAAATAAATAAATAAAATAATAGATAATTGTGCAATCTTCTCATTGCCTCACAGGGAGACAGTATTATCATCTTTTATTATCTATTATCTAATAGATGAGACAGTAATATTATCTATTATCTAATAGATAAGACTAGATAATATTGCAAACAAAAAAAATTCTTGACCTCACCAGGAAATAAAAAATACTGTTAAAGTATCAAGTGAAATAAAACAGCAAAATACAGAAATACAAAGAAAAGCCACATGCTAGTGGAGGAAATAAATCTAATTGTTAATAAGTTGATAAATTAGGAGAAAATAAAGTGAATTTGTCTCACATATTCATTCTTAGTTCCTACAATATTAATGAAAAGAAATCAGATAGTGGGCTGAAATAAATATGAGAAAATTAGCATCATTCAGTGAGTAAGAGCGCAGGCTCTGAAGCCAGTCAGGCCAGCATGAGAATTCCTGCTCCATCACTCACCAGTTCTGTGACCCTAAGTGCATTTCTGAAACTCTTTACACCAGCTTCCCTCTCCTTTATAGTGGGGAAAGAACAGGATAGTGAGCTCAACACAGTACCTGGTATACAGTGAGCACACAGTGAACATCAGCTATTTTTTTTTTTTTTTTTTTTTTTGAGATGGAGTCTCACTCTGTCACCCAGGCTGCAGTGCAGTGGCATGATCTTGGCTCACTGCTACCTCTGCCTCCTGCCTCAGCATCTCAGTAGCTGGGATTACAGGCATGCGCCACCACGCTCAATTAATATTTTTAGTAGAGACGAGGTTTCACCGTGTTGGCCAGGCTGAAACATCAGCTATTATTAAAGTGATAGCTCTTTTTTGTGGTATCTCGGGGGCAATCAGCTGCTTCAAGATGAAGCTGAAGGCTGCGCATGGTGGCTCACGTCTGTAATCCCAGCACTTTGGGAGGTTGAGGCAGGAGAATCACCTGAGGTCAGGAGTTCGAGACCAGCCTGGTCAACATGGAGAAACCTCGTCTCCACGAAAATCAGTCAGGCGTGGTGGTGAGTGCCTGTAATCCCAGCTACTTGGGAAGCTGAGGCAGGAGAATCGCTTGAACCTGAGAGGCGGAGGTTGCAGTGAGCCGAGATCACTCCACTGTACTCCAGCCTGGGCAACAGAGCAAGACTCCATCTCAAAAAATAATAACAACAATTAAGTGTGTTGCTCTTTCATCTTATACACTTTTGAACATTTGCAATGTGTCTAGCACGTAGATTACAGCCAGGGACATTGGTTAAGAGCTACTGGAAACAAAACTAAAAGCAAACTCAACATACGTGATGTTTATGGCCCTCAGATCCTTAGTATTGTGTGATTTTCCCCCCTTAACATGTCTTTCTGAAATTGTCTATTAAAGCAGAGGAAATACTTGACAAAGGAAGTATGTATTGCATTAATCAGGACATAACTAATATTCTCCTATTCAGAATAATACTTATTTATGTGTGAAAGCAACATGGATGTGATCTCCAACACAGAATTTTCATGACGCTTTTATTGTATACAAATAAATACGTAACAGTTACTTGGTTAGACATCAAAACAAAAACAAACAAACAAACAAAAAGATGAAGCTGAATATTTCCTTTCCAGCCACTGGCTGCCAGAAATTCATTGAAGTGGATGATGAAAGCAAACTTCATACTTTTTATGAGAAGCATATGGCCACAGAAGTTACTACTGAGATGCTCTGGGTGAAGATTGGGAGGGTTATGTGGTCCAGATCAGCGATGAGAATGACAAACAAGTTTTTCCCATAAAGCAGGGTGTCCTGACCCATGGCTATGTCCACCTGCTGCTGAGAAGGGACATTCCTGTTATAGACCAAGGAGAATTGGAGAAAGAAAGTGCAAATCTGTTCAGGGTCACAATGTGGTCACCAATCTGACCATTCTCAACTTGGTTATCATCAAAAAAGGAGAGAAGGATATTCCTGGACTGACTGACACTATGGTGCCTCATCGCCTGGGGCCCAAAAGACCTAGCAGAATCTGCACTTTTCAGTCACTCTAAAAGAGACGATATCTGCCAATATATTGTAATAAAGCCCTTAAACAAAGAAGGTAAGAAACCTAGAACCAAAGCACCCAAGATTCAGTGTCTCGTTACTCCACATATCCTGTAACACAAACTCTGGCATACTACTCTGACGAAAGAGACTACTAGGGGAAATAAGAGAGAGGCTGCAGAATATGCTAAACTTTTGGCCAAAAGAATGAAGGAGACCAAAGAAAAATGCCAGGAATAGATTGACAACAGATGTAGGCGGCCCTCTCTGCAAGCTTCTACTTCTGAGTCCAGTCAAAAATAAAATTTTTTGAGTAACAAATAAGATCAGATCCCACACTCCAAAAACCACTACTATGCAATTGGTTTTATTTTGCTTTATAGAATGGTTGAGAGAAATTGAGTCCCTCTATCTATTCACAAATTGTTTAAAATATAATTTGATTAACTTAATTGTAAGAATACTCTACCTCTAATGCATGCAGGTGTTTCCACATATTTAAAAAATCTATTCTCTAATGACTAACTGCATGTATAAATAACTATAAATACAACCTCCTATAGGTTATTTTTCCTATTTATGACCATAAAGTTGAACAGAGGTAACAATCAAGAAAATATAAGAACGTTTGCTTCTTTTTATCTTGATACTTGACTGGATACCAGCTCAGTGTTTGTAGATGCCTTTTATTTAGCAGAGAACTAGGCAAACCAAAGTTAAAATAATAGAGTATCCCCTACCTGATTCTCATCAGTTTTTGATCCTAAACTTTTAGCTTCTGAAGAGCAATATCCCAATAACTCAAAATAAAATAATTAAAGGCAAGCTTATCACATGTACCATGGATTTAAATGATACATGAAGATCTTGGAGAAACAAAGACAGTTTCAGTGAGATTCATCAAACTCTCAAAGATAATGAAGGGCTTGGGGTTACAGTTATTAGGAATTCTGATTAGGGCAACCTTTAATGAATGTTTGCTGTTTGAAGTATTAGAAGCTCTGTCATGATAAGCTTCATAGAAACAGAGGTCCTGACTGTTATATTAAATATATTCTGCACAGTACTCTCAACAAAGTAGGAAACGATAACAAATTATAGTAATTGTAATTCATGGGGCAATATGAGAAAAGCTGAGTATCAAAATACTTTTTATAATTCTCAAAGGCATAGCCTTTTAAATGGAGATCATTCAAGTGATGTAACGGTCAAGAAAATCATCAGGGTTGCCGTGGGAAAAGAAATTGTCAAAGACAACATCAAAATGCGTACCTTGAATTTGGGTTCAGATAATGCCCCCCAAAGAATTAAATTACCAGTGGAATATCTGCTATATCCTTCAAGATTCTTCAGTAATATCAATTTGTGAGCCTCTGTCAGTTTCCTCTCTGTTAAATGGAGACCATATCTGCCTTGGCTAACTTGAGAATTGTTGGGAGAAAAAATTGAAAGTGCAAAATAAATGAAAAATAACATAACTGCTATTGCTACTCTATTTAGTCATAATAGCTATGATTAAACAAACTAATCTTTCTGTTAATCTGCAACAAAAGGAGGCTTTTATAACTATGTGACAATGTAAATATGGAAAAGATTTTAGCCTGATTAGATAAAACTTCCACCTCTCAGATCAATACTGAAAATCAGTATAATTTGGTACCTTGAGTTGGGCATCTAAACGGAGCCACTAAACAGAACAGCAGGGGTACTAACCAAAATAAAGATCAAACCCTCCTCAGGAATAAAACATTCAGGTCCCAAGACTTTCTCTCCTAATAGAAGCCCAGATGGACATGAATCACTTACTGGAAAACCTAGAGCCGTCTTCATGAGCACTTCCCTACACCTCCTAGGGTGCGAAGGTGTTAGCTTGGGCTCTGGGAAAAGAAAATCCCGTGTGTTTTCTTCATAGTAGGCCAACTCATCCCACACTAGAAAGAAAGGAGAAAAAGTATAAATATCTGTATTTACACCTTCAGGTTTAACAAAATAAAAGTTCAGGCAGATGATGGCAGAGATGGCACTCAGGTAAAAATAGACACATTGATCCTAGCACCTGTTATTCAAGAGGAGACTAATTTCTATTACTTTTTATCTTTTGGATAATTTTTTAAAGCCTTCCAAAGTCATAACAGAGAAAAAAAGACTAAAGAGGTGTTCTACAAAACAGAACAAATAGGAAAATCTATCTTTCCATCTATCCATCCAATTTTTCCTTCGACAAATATTTACTAATGATAACCCTTAAGCCAGGTACCGGGGATAGAATAGGAACAAGGCGAACATAGCATTGTTCACACAAGTTTACAGTTTAGACTGGGGTTCAATGTGTTCTGTGATGCATGGATGCCAAGGGCCCAGATGACAGCTACAGCTGTGGTTCTCAGCAGGGGTACCAATCCCAGGGACATTTTGGACATTTGTGGAAATATTTCAGGGGCAGGAGCCAGAGGTGTGAGGGAGTCCTGCAGTGCTCAAGACACTCATGCACATCACACAATCTCCCCCAGCCCCAATGACTTTCTAATATCTTGCAAACATTCTTGCAGGCTAAAAACTATTTTATAATTATCTGAGCCTAGAACTTAACTAACTATGTAATTGAAAATAATTATGTAACTATGTTATATGTAAAGACGAAGCTTTTTTTTTTTTTTTTTTTTTTTTTGCATGATTTGGAAATACACTGAATTTTTCCAAGTACTGTGTAAATCAAGGAACAATTGTATTTTGTTTTGTTTGGATCTTTAACCGGACCTGTTTGATATTTTGAAAATCATGTCCCATCTAAATGCTTCATTATGCTTGACACTTACATATTAACATATACATTTTATCATACACCACTTTCATTTCTACTTTATATTACAATCAGATTATGTTAATTTTTTACAGTGACTTGTATAAGTTGATTATATTAACTACAAATATTTTTAGTATCATAAAAGGGATACTACAAAATACTCATTACCAAAAGATCTTGGGTCTAATAGGATGAACAATTACTGAGCCGAAGGACAGAAAGCTACCATCTGAATCATCCTTGACCACACAGCAGGTGCTGCAGAAGTGATCTGAACTGAGAGTGGTCCCTGCCTAGAGGACCATCAAAAAAGTAACTGTAGCCAATGAGGCAGTTTTGCTATTTAGTGACTGCCACTTTACTTATGAGAAGAATTCTGATGAGGGTTGCTTCGTTTTCAGTACATCAACTGTAGAACATAATTGACCTTACATCACATAATATGATGCATTAAATTCTTCCTCCTACTAACTCCATTTAATACGAATGTTTCGGTTCTACTGAGGAAAGAATCAAAGTGCAAAAAGAAATTATTCTATATTTTTCATCATAAATAGCATTTCTTTCCACTCGTGCACTCCCAGCCACACTCCAGCCACAATGGATTGATGTTCCCTCCTGAGCAATGTACTTCCACCATGCATGCTCTCCTGCATTACTGCCATGGCCTTAGCTGATCTCCCTGCCTCCATTCTCCTGCACTCAAATCCACTATCCGCACACTGCAATGTTTTAAATACATCAGACTGTGCCTTTCTCTGCTTAAAACCTTCCAATGGGCTTCTCATCGCATTAGAATAAAATCTAAGCACCTTACCCTAGACTTCAAGACTCTATATAATCAGGCTTCTAATAATCTCTCCTAATTCATTTATTGCCACTCTCCCCTTGATCGTCGTTCCCTGTCATCCTTTACCCTTCTTGCTGTCCCTCAAACACACCAAGCTCACCTCCACATAAGGGTTGTGCCTTATCATTCTCCTCTCTGTAAAGTTCCCTCCCCGGGTCTCTGCAGGGCTGGCTCCTTCCTACTGAATAACAGGCTTGGTTTAAATGTCATCTTATCAGAAGGTGGTAACCCAATCCAAAAGAGCACTCCTTCCCAGACACTCCCCATCACATCACCTGATTTTACTTTCAACATAAGATTTACCACTAATTGATATTTTTGTTCATGTATTTATTCGTGATCTGCTTCCAACAAGGCTCCATGAAAGCAGTGACTTTGTCTTTTCTGTACATTATTCTACTGCTGGCAGGGTTGTCCCTAGAAAGGTGTGAACTCAGAGCAGTTCAATCAGTACAGGGTCCAGCCAAGACAATCACACCTGAAAAGGGGCCTCACTGTCAGCATCTTCAACAAGCCCCTTGAAATATCACTAAAGATAGACATTTTAAAATTGAACTTCAATGATGTTCAGAGACGAGTGGTGAAGTGCAGCATCCTGGATGCTGCCCCTAAACCTGTGGAACAATGCTTAGGACATAATGGGTACCTGATAAATGCTTCTTAAATGAATGAACATGAGGACTAAAGTAAGTTAACTAGCGTAAGTGCCAGCTTACGTTAGCCACTCAATAAGCATTAGTTACCCTCTTTGAGACTCAGTTTCCATACTATTAAAAAAAGGAGAAGAGAGACTAAATGTTCTCTAAAAGCTTTTCCAACTCTTACCCTTCATTCATTTTTCAATTTATTTTCATTCATATATTCAAAAAACACTTCACTCATTGAGAACCTCCTATGTAGTAAGACTTACAGACACTGGATGTATACTAGTGAAGAAGGTAAATATAATCAATGCCTTCCTGGAGCTTATAGTCTATAAGTATTAAACAATTATACAAATAAATGCATAGTTAAAAATTAAGCTCCATAACGGTAAATTGCTAGGAATAGAGATAGAGAGGGTAGGAAGACAGGAGAGAAGATGGGTGTAATTCCTTTTTTTTTTTTTTTTTTTGAGATGGAGTCTCGCTCTTGTTGCCCAGGTTGGAGTGCAGTGGCACAGTTTGGGCTCACTGCAACCTCCGCCTCCTGGGTTCAAGCGATTCTCTTGCCTCAGCCTCCCAAGTAGCTGGGATTACAGGCACCCTGCCACCACATCTGGCTAATTTTTGTACTTTTAGTAGAGACGGGCTTTCACCACGTTGGCCAGGCTGATCTCGAACTCCTGACCTCAAGTGATCCACTGGCCTCAGCCTCCCAAAGTGCTGGGATTACAAGGCGTGAGCCACTACACTCAGCCAATGGGTGTAATTCTAACATTAATTCTCTGCTTCATTTACTAGTCTCATCCTGGCCTTCTTCATTAATGCTCCTCTTACAATGCTCCCTGTGATGGGCATAATCCTCCCACCTTTGCTGGTCAAAAACAGACTCTGCCTCCATCCAGAAACTCTGAAGTACAACCTGCAAATGGAAAGTGATGTGCCAATTTCCCCAGCTATCACTAGCAACAAAAGACAACTTACTCCTGAAGCCTATAGTATAGAGCTAAGAACTTTTTTTTTTTTTTTTTTTTGAGATGGAATCTCGCCCTGTCACCCAGGCTGGAGCGAAATGGCTCAGTCTTGGCTCACTGCAACCTCTGCCTCTCGGGTTCAAGTGATTCTCCTGCCTCAGCCTCCCGAGTAGCTGGGATTACAGACGTGCACCACGAATTCAAATTCTAGGGTCAGGCAAGGTTGGGTTCAAATCCCTGCTCCACCACTTACCAACTATGTGATCTTGGGCAAATTACGTAAACTACTTAACTTCAGTCTCCTCTTCAAGAAAATGTAAAAACTGTCATTGTACCTGCCCTTTAAGACTACTCTGAAGACGAATGACAAAGCCATGTATAATGCACAGCACAGCACCTGACATTGCCTACCATTACCAGGATTGCTCTCTGACACCAGCCCAGCAGTGGCCCCAGAACTGCTCTGGCTTCTGTAAACATCATTATGTTCCTACCGGGAACAAGCACCTAGATTCCTGAGATGACGTTCTACACAGGAGGCCTTTCCTTTTCCCTCTTTCCTTTCATATGCTTTTGGCTAGTTCTTGTCACTGCATCTAAATGATAGCTGCAAATTATTATTCCTGTGTTTAGCAAGAATTTAGATAAAAGTAAGAGGCTAGAAAATTGAAAGTGAGCTCATACCCTATCTTTAGAATCACAGGAATAAAAATAGACTGAAACAGGGTTAGACAAATAAATAGAAGGCTATGAAGCTTCTCAAGACAGTCTCTCTGGTGTGGTCACTTTCTAGAAATCCAAACTGCCACCCAGAGTGAAAATGTCAGCACATTAAGAGGACGGTACAGCAAGAGCCTAGGTTAGAAATAATAAACATATTCACAGGCTGAACAAGTCTTATAGGTCAAGGGAAGTATCTGAGAGAACTCAGTGTTCTTAAGAGTTCATTACACAGACAGTGACATCATCAATGGCATCAATGAACTTTTCCCCCAAAAAGGAAACAAATTAGACTTCAAAAGAAATAACAATTGTAATAACAACATTGGCTGGAGGAATATCTAACATTTTTAGAGCATGTCAGAATTGACAGTGTGCTTCCAGATACAGGATCACATTTGATTCCCTCTTTACAGATAAGGAAACTGAGGCTCTGAGAGTTTGACCTGTCATGATGCCACATGGCTAGTGATACCACATGGCAAAGTAGGAATTCAAAACCAAATCATCTGAGACAAAAGGTCCTTCCTTGCTAATGCCTATAAAAGTATAAAAGCATTGCTACAAAAGTGTAAAATATTGCTATAAAAGCATTGCTATAAAAGTATAAAATTAAGCTCTGTTAAGTGAATGGGGGCCCATGAGAATAGACTTTTACAGTTGGACTGAATATACCTGACTTACCCAAAGTGAAGGTATTTATCTCAGAGGTTAATAAAAAGAAAGCGTCAAGCTCACTGTGGAATAGGATCACGCTGCCCCCCTGTGTCCATTCCCTTTTCCCACCTTTGCAAACTGAAGAACAGGAAGGGTCTTATTTCTTGGCAGCAAAGATCACTGGACTTCATTCTTTAGCAGTAAAGCCATATGCACATCTGGATATCATTACTTGTATTATTAATTTATTTGTACTATTAACTTAATGATCATAACATGTCTTTTG